CCGGGTCAGAGCCGGAGCCCGGAGCTGGGCCTTGGGGAGTCCCGCAGGGACGGACGGGCAGAGGCTGGAGGGAAAGAAGGGGTGGGGAACAGGGGATGGGGGGAGAGGTGCAGGAAAGCAGAGAGAGAGGGGAGTCAGGGGGATCAGGGGGAGACTCAGAGCCTCAGAGAGCAAGACCGAGTAGTGGCCGAGGGTCAGGAGGCCGGTGGAGGGAGAGGGTGGGAGCACAGCCGGAGGGAGAGGAAGGGGAGATGGGGAAAGAGCCGCAGAGAGAGAGGGACAAGGCGGCGAGCCAGGGGGTGCACCCCTGTGGGGCTGCATGCTGGCGGAGGCGGGGGTGGATGGCGGGGCAGAGGGAGGCAGAGTCAGAGGCAGAGAGAAGGAAGGAGTCTTGTCCCAGGGCCACCACGCCCGCCACCGGGGTCTCCGTCCCCACCCGTGTCCACCCACAGCCCAGGGCGTGCTTTTGGCACCAGCTCGGCTGCATACATCCATTCAGGGTTCCCTGTGTCCCTGCAGAGAAACTTCCAGAACCCCCGGAGGGCCCTGTGTGTTTTTATTTACTTATTTTTAAAATATATTTTATTGATTTTTTTTTTTTTTTTTTTTTTTTTTTTTTTTTTTTTTTTTACAGAGAGGAAGGGAGAGGGAGAGAGAGTTAGAAACATCGATGAGAGAGAAACATCCATCAGCTGCCTCTTGCACACCCCACACTGGGGATGTGCCTGCAACCAAGGTATAGGCCCTTGACCCAAATCGAACCTGGGACCCTTCAGTCCGCAGGCCGACGCTCTATCCACTGAGCCACACTGGTTAGGGCTGTTTTTAGATCCCTATGTATCCTCTGTGCCCACCCCAGGGCCCCCCAGATCATCCGGTGGGCCCCGAGAGGAGTGTATGTCCCCACGGTAACAACTCCATGGATCTGACCAGCTCGACTTCCACAGGGCCCAGGGCGCCCCTATATCAGGTACCCATGGAACCCCAAATCCCCTCCAGTCCGCTGGCCCAGCGCCCTCATTCCGTGGACCTCATGGAGCACCAGGTCCCCGCCCTCTGGCTGAGGCAAAGGATGAAATGAGATAAACAAGGGAAATTCAGGATCCCTGAAGGCCACGCTCAGTGCTGAAGAGAAGAATGAAGCAGGGGAGGGAAAAGGAAGTGTTTGCTGAGTGCAGTGTTTTAGATGCAGGGCCGACAGGAAACAGGAAGCGCGGAGGCCCCGAGTGGGATTGTGCCGGGTGGAGTGGGCGGGAGGATCACGGAAGGGGCCAGGTGGCTGGAGGGGCGTGGGGGCGGGGTGACACCAAAGGAGGTGAGGACACAGGTCCCGCAGGCCCTGAGAAGCCCTGGTTCACTGCGGGTATTTGTAATTATTCATAGGGCCTCTGTCAGTCTCAAGTGTCTTGCCCTAACTGGGAGATGATAGCATTATCCTACCAAGAGGGCATTGTAACCTGAAACCTATGTGTGCATGTTAATCACTATGATCCCAATAAATGCAATAAAAAAATAAAAAATAAATACATCTTCAATAAAAGGTCTTTGTAAAGAGTATGGCTTTTAAAAAAAATTCTCACCTAAGGATATGTTTGCTTATTTTAGAGAGAGAGGAAGGCAGGGAGAGAGAGAGAGAAACATTGATGTAAGATTGAAGCATCTATTGGTTGCCTCCCGAATGCACCCTGGCTGGGGTTTGAACCCCAAACCTAAGTATTTACCCTGACTGGGAATCGAACCTGCAACCTTTTGCTACACGGGACGCTCCAACCAGACAAGGCTATGGCTTTTAAATGCTATCTGGGAGCACAATTTAGGCCACTATCATATTTTTAAAAATATATCTTATTGATTTTTTACAGAGAGGAAGGGAGAGGGATAGAGAGAGAAACATCAATCAGTTGCCTCCTGCACACTCCCTACTGGGGATGTGCCTGCAACCAAGGTACATGCCCTTGACCGGAATTGAACCTGGGACCCTTGACCCATGAAGCCAAACCGGTTAGGGCTAAGCCACCATCATATTATACCTATATTCATATTTATAATAAAAAAGCATAATATGCTAATTAGACCGGACATCCTTCTGGACAACCTTCTGGATGAAGCCAGGGAAACCCAGGTCCCAGGTGCCTTCTGGTGGCCAGAGGGAAGCCTGTGCCAGCAGCTGGGGGAAGGAAGGCTACTCTTGCACAAATGTTGTGTATCAGGCCTCTAGTATATATATATATATAACATTATATATATATATATAATGTTATAATATAGTTACATGTTACATGTGCATATATACTAGATCCCCAGTGTGGGGTGTGGGTGCAGGAGGCAGCCGATCCATGATTCCCTCTCAGCATTGATGTTTCTCTCTTCTCCCTTTTCTTTCCTCTCTGAAATCAATAATATATATATATATATATATATATATATATATATATATGTATATATATATATATAATATAAAAGAAGGGTTTGGTGAAGCCGGTTTAACATAGTATGACGTGTAATTTTATATGTAAATATACCTTATAGATAGATAGGCTTGTGCCTAGGTTATGTAGGTATGGTAGGCCCCCAAACCCATGAATTCCCAGAACCTGTGAATTCGTAGCCTTACAGGGCAAAAGAGACTTTGCAGGTGGAACTTGAGTTGAGGTGATCCGGGTTACCTGGGTGGCTCTAAGTGTAACCCCAAGAGCCCTTAGGAGAGGGAGGTGGGAGGTTCGGAGTCAGAGGAGATGGCACCGGGAGGCAGAAGGGATGTGGCCGCAGTCCAAGGAATGCAGGCAGCCTCCAAGCACTGGACGAGGCGAGCGGTAGGTTCTCTCCTGGAGCCTCCGGAAGTCACACAGTCCGGCGGACGCTTGACTTTAGCCCAGTGCAAGCCCACGGGTCCGAAACCCTCTTAGGACTTCTGATCTCCAGAACGGTAAGATCATACATCTGTGTTGTTTTAAACCACCAAGGTTTTTAGTGATTTGTTAATCGCAGACATAGGAAAGGAATACAGTAGGGTGCCCATGAGCCCAGACCCGTGTCTGATAACTATCCTACTACACACACACACACACACACACACACTCACACACATGCTCGCACACATGCACTCACACATATGCTCACATGCACACTCATCCTCACACAGGACATATTAGTATATGTTTGTCTTCCCATCTCAGCCTAAAATATCTAAAATATTGCCCTGCACCCCCCAGGCTCAGCAGCTCAACACAGTTGAGATGGAGACCCCCAATTAAAGCTGGCTACAACCTGTTCCTGGAAGGGATTGGGGGGGCTCTGATGGAAGACTAGACTAGGGTTTCCTGAAGCCCAGCCCAAAGCAAACGCTTCTGCAGACCAGACCTGCAGGGACTCACTCCGAGCCCCGAGCTCCGAATCGTGCATGGAGGCTGTCAGCTTCCCAGACAAACGTGCCTGGGCATTTTGCTCCAAGAACCCCCTCCTCTGCACCTGGCAGCACCCACGGAGAATTTTACGGGGTAGAGAGGGGTGATAAAAAGGGTCTGCACATGCTCAAGTGGGTGAGCATCAACCTATAAACCAGGAAGTCACGATTTGATTCCCGGTCAGAGCACATTCCCCGGGTTGTGGGCTCTATCCCCAGAGTGGGGCGTGCGTGCAGGAGACAGCCGATCCATGATTCCCTCTCGTCATTGATGTCTCTCTCTCTCTCCCTTTCCCTCTCTCTCTCCTCCTTTCCTCTCTAAAATCAAATATATTTTTTATAAAAGAAGGGTCTGCACAGGAGCTGCTGTGAGGAGAACGGGTAAAAGGGGAAACTGAGGCCAAGAGAAGGGCCCTTGGGTAAAGTGACCAGACGTCCCACTCTCAGCGGAACAGTCCCGATTTTTAACAATTTGTCCCGCGTCCCGCGGCGTTTTAAAAAAGTCCTGATTTTTGGAAAGATTGGGGTCAATAGCTGCCTAGGCCAGATGGTAGGGGTACCCGGAACGCAGGGCTCCAGTAGATTAGTGGGATGGAGCCTCGGATGCAGGGGAAAAGGCCTGCAGGTGAGGGACCAGCTCAACCTGCAAATGATAGAGGCGGGGCGGGGCGGGGCCAAAGCAGGGGCGTGGCCACGACAAGGGAGGGGCCGAAAGGCCTAGAACAAGGGCGGGACCTCAGGTGGCGGGGCGGAGCGGAGTGTTGGAGAGGGCGGGGACATGGGTGTGGGCGGGGCCTCCTGGAGGCGGGGCCAGCTCCGAGGGGGCGGGGCATATAGCAGGGCAGGGGTGGATCTCATAAGGAAGACGAAGAATCCCGGCTCGCTAAGGGGCGGAGCGCGGGACGGGAGGGGGCGGGGCTTAGAGGGAGAGGCAGGCGAGGGGCGTGGCCTGTCGAGGGGCGGGGCAAAGCTGTCGGGTGGGTAGGGCTTAAAGCTGCGCAAACGCCTCCGCCCCGGCCAGGAAGCAGGGTGGGCGCGCCGGAAATTTCCCCGGCGGGGCCTGCGTACTTCCGGTCAAGATGGCGGCGCCCACTGGCGTCAGGTGCGGCTGACGCTGTCTTCAGTGAGCGGCGGCGGCGACTCGAGGCCCGGAGAGGTGAGGTGCGCCCCGCCCCGGCCCCGCTCTTCGGCGAGGAGGGAGGGGATCCGCCGAAACCACGACCCAGGGGGAAGCTCGCTGCTTTGGGGGCGGGGCGGCGGCGTTGCTAAGAGACGGGGACGCGCGCCCTGGACCTAGGGGAGGGGGTTGCTAGGTGGCCAGGAGAGGGGGTGGGGCCTGTTGCTAGGGACGGAGGCGGGGCTGGCGGCTTTGGGGAAGGGTCCGGCGGGTGTGAAGGAAGCCGAGGGGGCGGGGGGTTGAGGTGGGTGTGGCCAGAGCGCTTCCGGGTCATGGCGGGGCGCCGAGCTCCCCTGAAACGCCGCCTTCCCGGCAGACCCCCAGGAGTGGACCCTCCAGGACACCCGAGCTACGTCCGCGGCGGCCACCCCCCGCCCCACACCCGCCATCGCACTCTCCCCTCCTCCGCAAGCAGAGCCCATGGCGGACCAAGGCCCGGGGGGCAGCCGCCTCCCCCTGGCGCTGCCCCCGGCCTCCTCCCAGGGCTGCTCCTCCGGCGGCGGCGGCGGCGGCGGCTCCTCGGGGGGCTCGGGCCACCCCCCGCACCCGCGCAACCTGCAGGGCCTGCTGCAGATGGCCATCACGGCGGGCTCTGACGAGCCGGACCCCCCTCCGGAGCCCATGAGCGAGGAGGTAAAGGCTGGGGTGCAGGAGGCTGGGGAGGGGGTGGGGCCAGCTCTGCCTGGGGAAGCGTGGCTTGGGGAGTGTCCCGGGGTGTGTGTGTGTGTGTGTGTGTGTGTGTGTGTGTGTGTGTTGGGGGGGTGCGGGGGGGGGGGAGTCCGGGTGTGAAGGCGCAGTCCGCTATGTTTGTGCCCGATGGGGTCATTGCAGCCGGAATGAAGGTCAGACCTCAGAACAGTCTGAGGGGGCAGGCCCCGGGGTCCCATGCTGGGAGGCTGACCGGCCTCGGCCTCGTGGGAGAAAGAAAAGCAAATAAACAAGGCTGGATTCGGCGGTTTCCAGCTGTGTGACCTTGGGGTGTCTCTTAGACTCTCTGGGCCTCAAGTTGGTGATGATAAGAATAACGGTGCTTCTGAGGGTGGTTCTGAGGCGGCAGCGCGGGCAGCTGGGGCTCCTGCTCGTTCAGCGCACGGGCTTGCAGGATGGGGGGAGGTAATGTGGTCAGGGTGGTTGAGGGTAGTCCCAGGCGCCTAGAGGTCACCTGTTCCGTTCCTGGTCAGGGCACATGCCCGGGCTGAGGGCTTGATCCCCAGGTAGGAGGCATGCAGGAAGCAGGTGATCAGCATTTCTCTCTCATCAATGCTTCTATCTCCTTTCTCTGTCGAAAATTGATAATAATGACCTAACCCGTGTGGCTCAGTGGATAAAGTATCAGCCTGGGACCTCAAGGGTCCCAGGTTCGATTCCGGTCAAGGGCATGTACCTTGGTTGCGGGTACATCCCCAGTAGGGGGTGTGCAGGAGGCAGCTGATTGATGTTTTTCTCTCATCAATGTTTCTAATTCTCTCTCCCTCCCTCTCCCTTCCTCTCTGTAAAAAAAAAAAAAATCAATAAAATATATTTAAAAAAAATACTTAGCATTATTATTATCAACTTTAAAAATAAAAAGCCAAGGTACATGCCTTTGACTGGAATTGAACCTGGGACCCTTGAGTCCGCAGGCCAACGCTCTCTCCACTGAGCTAAACTGGTTAGGGCTGAAATATAGTTTACTGTTTGTTTGTTTTTTAAGAGAGGGAGGAAAAGGAGAGAGAAATTGAAACATTGATTGGCTGCCTCCTGCAGGCCCCCTACTGGGGGTCAAGTCCGAAACCCTGGACACGTGCCTTGGGACGACACTCAACCAACTGAGCCACACCGGCCGGGCCAGGCCTCTCCTCTTGTTTGTACTCATGTCCTGTGTGAGCTCATGTCCTGCAGCAGTTTTACCTGAGGACTCAAACGTGCAGCTGCCTGCCAGGGGCCCCCTCCTGGCGGGGGCTGGATCCAGCAGGGGGCACTGTGGGAGACCCGTGCTTGGTGTCTCTCGGGTGGCAGTCACGGGTGCCGCTCAGCCTCCGGCATAGATCCCTCAAACATAATGCGTTAACAGTGAGCTCTAGGCCCTAGGCTGGCAGCTAAGTGGTTAGAGCATCGTCCTGATGGGCCAAGGTTGCGGGTTCGATCTGGGTCAGGGCACATACAAGAATCAGTGAATGCATGGCTGGATGGAACAAGAAGTCATTGTTTCTCCCCCTCTCCCTCTCTCAAAAACCAAACAAACAGCTCAGACTGCCTGGCTCAGTGGTTGAGGGTCGATTCAAGAACAGGAGGTCACGGTTGGATTCCTGGTCAGGGCACATGCCCAGGTTGTGGGCTCAATTCCCAATGTGGGGCGTGCAGGAGGCAGCCGATCAATGGTTCTCTCTCATCATTGATGTTTCTCTCTCTCCCTCTCCCTCTCTGAAATCAATAAAGACATATATAAACAAACAAACAAACAAACAAAAAACCAAGTTCTAATCTCCTTCTCCTGCTCTACACCTGCTGCCTTCTCCATCTCCTTCTAGGGAGTCAGGACAGACCCAGGGAGCCATGCCTCCCCCAACCCTACCCCCACCTCATAGTCCCCCCCTCACATCTGTCCGTAGAAATGAAGCTCCATAGATGCGTGTGGACTGAAGGCGCAGTCAGCGCTCCTGTCGTTACTAATGACCATGGTTCACGAACGCGCTTGTTGACTAACGCCCCCCCCTGTCCCCAGAGGCGCCAGTGGCTGCAGGAGGCCATGTCGGCCGCCTGCCGGGGCCAGCGGGAGGAGGTGGAGCAGATGAAGAACTGCCTCCGAGTGCTGTCCCAGCCCACACCCTCCTCTGCCGGCGAGGCCGAGCTGGCCACCGACCAGCAGGAGCGCGAGGGGGCCCTGGAGCTGCTGGCGGACCTGTGTGAGAACATGGACAACGCCGCAGGTACCCCACACACACCCCCCGCCCGCCCCCAGCCGTCCTGCCACCCTCTGCCTCCTGGCCCCCCGCCTGCCTGGCCTCCTCAGCGCATGTCCGGCTCAGCCCTCGGCCTTGGTCTTGGCTTGCTCCCCAGCCTCCTCGCCTCCAGCCTGAGCACCTGCATCTGCCTCTCACTCCCGCCCAGGTGGCCTGCCCTGTCCCTCTCTGTGTGGGCCCCATGCCCTCCGTGGGACCCCGGACACAGCCAGCCTGGGAAGGTTCCGTCCACTGCCTCTGATTCTCAGTGGGCATATACCCCAGAATTGGCTCGATCCCCAGTAGGGGGCGTGCAGGAGGCGGCCTATCATTGATTCTCATCATCCATGTTTCTCTCTCTCTCCCTCTCCCTTCCTCTCTGAAGTCAATGCAAACCTATTTAAAAAGAAGTTACACAGCAGGGAGTCCTGGGGGCTGGGAGTCCGAGTTCCAGGGGTCGGCAGGGTTGGCTGCCTCGGAGGCCCCTCTCCTTGGCTCTCACAGGGCTGTCCCCTCCCGCGTCCTCACATGCCCCCCCCGCACCCCCCCGTGTATCCGTGTCCTCTGGGGCCAATCCTGTGATGTCATGGCATCTTCCTTGCCTATTTTAGGCCCCATCTCCGCACACAGCACACCTGAGGCACTGGGTCGGGGTGGAGGGTGGGGGGGTGAGGGCTTCAGGAATGGATGTGGCACAGCTCAGCCCTAACCCTGCCCCCCTCCCCCCTCCCCCCATGGCACAGACTTCTGCCAGCTGTCGGGCATGCACCTGCTGGTGGGCCGGTACCTGGAGGCGGGGCCCGCGGGGCTGCGGTGGCGGGCGGCGCAGCTCATCGGCACGTGCAGCCAGAACGTGGCGGCCATCCAGGAGCAGGTGCTGGGCCTGGGCGCCCTGCGCAAGCTGCTGCGGCTGCTGGACCGGGACCCCTGCGACTCGGTGCGCGTCAAGGCCCTCTTCGCCATCTCCTGTGAGTGTCCGGGCCCGCTGGGGGTGGTGCTGGTGCTGGTGATAATGACGGTGGTGGTGGTGGTGATAATAATGATGGTGGTGGTGGTGGTGGTGGTAGTGATGGTGATGGTGATGGTGGTGATGATGGTGGTGATGATGATGGTGGTGATGGTGATGGTGGTGATGGTGATGGCGGTGGTGGTGGTGGTGGTGATGATGATGGTGGTGATGGTGATGGTGGTGATGGTGATGGTGGTGGTGATGATGATGGTGGTGGTGATGGTGGTGGTGATAATGATATGATGGTGGTGATGGTGATAATGATGGTGGTGGTGGTGGTGATGGTGATGATGATGGTGGTGATGACGATGGTGGTGGTGTTGGTGATGGTGGTGGTGGTGGTGGTGGAGGTGATGGTGATGATGATGGTGGTGGTGATGATGATGGTGGTGATGGTGATGGTGGTGATGGTGATGGTGGTGGTGATGATGATGGTGGTGGTGATGGTGGTGGTGATAATGATATGATGGTGGTGATGGTGATAATGATGGTGGTGGTGGTGGTGATGGTGATGATGATGGTGGTGATGATGATGATGGTGGTGATGGTGATGGTGTTGTTGGTGATGATGGTGATCATGGCGGCCATGGTGGTCACTGTGACTGTGAGGCCCCTCCTTTCTCCCGCCCAGGCCTGGTCCGGGAGCAGGAGGCGGGGCTGCTGCAGTTCCTCCGGCTGGACGGCTTCTCCGTGTTGATGCGGGCCATGCAGCAGCAGGTGCAAAAGCTCAAGGTCAAGTCAGCCTTCCTGCTGCAGAACCTGCTGGTGGGCCACCCGGAGCACAAAGGTGGGGTGGCCGGGGCAGGGGCCGGCTGGTCCTGGGGGTGGCGGCGGGGCAGGGAGTGCACCGAGGGGGGGCCGCCCTCTGACCCCGCGTCCTCCCGCAGGAACCCTGTGTGCCATGGGCATGGTCCAGCAGCTGGTGGCCCTCGTCCGGACAGAGCACAGCCCCTTCCACGAGCACGTGCTGGGAGCCCTGTGCAGGTGCGCCCCCTCCCACCATGCACCACGGCTCCGCCTCCTCTCTCCTGGGACCCCGGAGTCTGGGGCTTCCCCTGGGGAGTGCTGGCCCTCTTGAGCCTCAGTTTCCTCACCTGTAAGGGGAGTGACGCAGGAGGAGGGGGAGAGGCTCTTTCACCCCCACCCTCCACAGTCCAAGTGGATCAGCGTCTGAAATAAAACGACAGGATGGGGCAGCTGAGTGAGCCGCAGCAGCCCCGGCCGGCCCGGTGCTCAGTGCCGTTTTGTGCAAATCCCAGGAGACCCCTGTGCAGCGGGGGAACCTGGGGTTCGGTGGGGGGCACTGTCTCTCCCTGGCTCCTGGGGAGGGGGTGTGTGTGTGGAGGGAGGTGCCAAGAACTGCCGCCCTGTGCCCGCAGCCTGGTGACGGACTTCCCCCAGGGCGTGCGGGAGTGCCGGGAGCCGCAGCTGGGCCTGGAGGAGCTGCTCCGGCACCGCTGCCAGCTGCTGCAGCAGCACGAGGAGTACCAGGTGGGCCCCGCGTCCGCCCCCGCCGTCCCGTCCATTCACGCTCCCATCGCCGGCACCGCCGCCGCCCGTGTGGCTCGCGTGTCCCAGGGAGCAGGAGGGACGCGGGTTTCCAAGGGCTGACGAACCCCTTTAATCACTCTCCCCGTTATGTGCATCATGCGAGAACCGCAGCTATTTTTACCGCCTCCTTGTTCTTCCCTTCCCGCTTGGGCGTGCTTGTGCCGGGCAGACACCTTGTCTGCGGCCCAGCCCCTCGGCGCTGGCTGTCCCGGCTTCTGCCGTCCGTGTCCGCGGGCGGTTTCAGTGGGATAAGTAGGGTGACCGGAGGCTGGGAGACCCTGGGGCCCAGGGCAGGAGTCCAGACGTGGGTGAGAAGAGAAGGTCTGAGCGGAGGTCGGAGAAGTCCGGAGGCTTCGGCGGCAGGGCCGGGCGGGAAGTGGGGGTGTCTCGGTGGGGGCTTGCTGGGGGCAGGCTGGGCGGGAAGTGGGGGTGTCTCGGTGGGGGCTTGCTGGGGGCAGGGCCGGGCGGGAAGTGGGGGTGTCTCGGTGGGGGCTTGCTGGGGGCAGGGCTGGATGGTACAGTGGGCTATCTCGGTGGGGGCTTGCTGGGGGCAGGGCCGGCCTGGGCACTCAGGCCCCGCTCTCGCCCCGCCCAGGAGGAGCTGGAGTTCTGCGAAAAGCTGCTGCAGACCTGCTTCTCCAGCCCCACGGACGACAGCATGGACCGGTGAACCGGCGGCTTCCGGCCCCTCTCCGCGGGGACCCTGGCCTCTGGCCTCCCTCCTCTCCCGAGGGAGAGCCGGCCGCTGGTGCGGCCGCTGCAGCCAGCCGCCTCTGCTCAGCCCCCTGGAGGGGCCCGAGGAAGGCGCGGCCCCTGCCTCCCCCCCCCCCCCTGCTCTCACTCCGCCCCCGAGCGCCCACGCCGTCTTCCAATAAAGGTGTTGCTCTCCCTCCTTCGCAGCAGCCTCTGTCACCTCCCCTGCAGGGTGCCTGGGGCGGGGCTCGGTCCTGGGGGACCCGGGAGCCCCTGGAGGGTCGGAGTGGGCGGGACCTGGGAATAAAGTGCTCTCTGAACCCAGAGCCATTGTCGCCTGTCATTGTCCAGCCTCTCATGGAGGCACACCCACTCCTTGACTTGGCCACCCTCCTCCATGGTTTCTCCATTTGGGGAAACCCAAATGGTCGGTTTACACACTGCAGGCCCCATAGAGAGCAAGGTGTGTGTCATGTGACCTCAGCCCCACCAATCAGAGCCCTCCCTGCATGGGGAACTATGGACAAGGTGGGAGGGAGCAGGTGCACCCACAGCAGGTGGAACTGTCCCGAGGGGCAGGCTGGCCCCTGGTTGGGCATTGGGTACGTTCCCACCTGCAAAGCACCCCACCTTATCTTCAGCCTTCTAAGATTTGGGGTAGGGAGAGGGACTGCCTTGCCTCCAAGAAGTTGCTTTTCAGGTCAAGTGAAGGTTTCACCGGTAGCCACCAAAAGCCCTAAGCGCTGTCATTTTCCGGACGAGGAAGCCGAGCCCAGGACCTTAGCCTGGCCAAGGTCCCCCAGCCAGGATTCAGGCCTGGGCTACACCCCAAACCGTGTTACTCTGCCCTGATTGGTTGCCTCCTACATGCCCCACACGGGACGGAGCCCAATGCCCAGGCCTGTGCCCCGATCGGGAATCCAACTGTGACCTCCTGGTTCATAGGTGGCCACTCAACCACTGAGCCACACCGGCCGAGCAGCTTTTATTTTCTGCGTTCAGGATTCAGGCCTGGGCTACTCCCCAAACCTAGGCCCGTCTGTTGCCAGACTAATTCCTGTGAAATTTCCTTGCACTCCTGGGATTTTGGAGGGACCGTTATTTCCACTTCTTCCCAAATTCAGGGCACGGGGAAAGGTGGTTACAGGATCCAAGGATCAGAGGTCACGTGCCACCTCTGTTCCTGTAACCGCCACTCACAGACCCTCGTCCACGTGGTCACACAGCACGGGGCGCCCGCAGACCCCTGACTTTATCCCCCAGCTCCACGCTGTGAACATGCCGCGTGCCCTGAGGTGGCGGTGGTCTGTCACTCCACCCCATGGCAACAGATAGCCTGGGAATAGCGAGGACCAGACGAGACATGGCTGAAAAATCTAATTACGGACATGTGGTCATCAGTGAGCGCAAGGAAATGACAAAGATTAGGGCAATTAGAAGCTAACAGATGTAACAGGAAAGTGCACTCAGCATGATTCAATTAAATGTCCATAAGCCCTGGCCTGTTTGGCTCAGTGGATAGAGTGTCAGTCTGCAGACTGAAGGGTCCTGGGTTGGATTCCGGTCAAGGGCACATGCCCAGGTTGCAGGCTCAATCCCCACTAGGGGGCGTGCAAGAGGCAGCGGATCCATGATTCTCTCTCATCATTAATATTTCCTCTTTCCCCTCCAATCTCTTCTTCTCTGAAATAAAGGTTTTTTTTTTAATGTAACTGGGATGAAAAAGGTAACTCTGCAGGCTAAAGATAAAAGCTGCCTGGCAGGTATGGCTCAGTGGTTGAGCGGCCATGTATGAACCAGGAGTTCACGGTTCAATTCCCTGTCAGGGCACATCCCTGGGCATTGGGCTCCATCCCGTGTGGGGCATGTAGGAGGCAGCCAATCAGTGATTCTTATCATTAATGTTTTTCTCCCTCCCTGAAATCAAAATATATTTTAAAAAATAAAAAAAAGTTGAGGCTTTGCCGAAACCGGTTTGGCTCAGGGGATAGAGCGTTGGCCTGAAGACTCAAGGGCCCCAGGCTCGATTCCCGTCAAGGGCATGCACATTGGTTACGGGCACATCCCCAGTAGGGGATGTGCAAGAGGCAGCTGGTCGATGTTTCTCTCTCATCGACGTTTCTAGCTCTCTATCTCTCTCCCTTCCTCTCTGTAAAAAATCAATAAAATATATATTTTTTTAAAATAGAAAGGAATATGCCGAGACCGGTTTGGCTCAATGGATAGAGCGTCGGCTTGGGGACTGAAAGGTCCCGGGTTCGATTCCGGTCAAGGGCATGTACTACCTTGGTTGCGGGCATATCCCCAGTGGGGCGTGTGCAAGAGGCAGCTGATCAATGACTCTCTCTCATCGATGTTTCTAACTCTGTATCTCTCTCCCTTCCTCTCTGTACAAAATCAATAAAATATATTTTTTAAAAAATAGAAAGGAATATGAATGAAGGAGGGAAAGAGACTCAGACCGGCTGCCACCTGAAGCGAGTGGGAAATCCTGGAGCCGGATTGTCTCCGGTTTTGGAACGGAGTCCTAGAGAACACCCGGTGTGCGGTGGCGCCTGCGCGCTGCGTTGCCAGGGTTTATTCTGGGAGAGACCGTTGGCACCAGGCGGCGCAGGCGCATCCGGAGGCGGAGCTGGCCCGGGTGGGCGGGGCGGGAGAGGCCGGGCCGCACGCGCACGCGCACGCGCACTGCAGGCCCCGGCGCGCGGCCACCCCGCGCACCCCGACGCCCGCGGGAGGGCGGGGTCTCCTGCGTGCCCCTGCGCCGGGGGGATTGTGGGATCGTGGCGGACGGAGCCGGGTGTCGGAGGCCCTGAGCCGACTGCAAAGCGGGGAGGCGCCGCCGCGGTGAGGAAGAGGCGGTGGAGGAAGCCGGCCTCGCGCGCCGCCGGCCGCCGCTCACACTGCGGACTGCGCGGAGGACGCCTTCCCGACCGGCCTGGGCCGGAGACCGGGCGGCTCCCCGGCTGAGAGCCTGCCTTCGCGGGCCTCGCGACCCCGCCGACCGCACCCCGCACCCCGCGCGCGCGGCCGGCCGGCGCCGACCCCGAACTCCGGACCTCGGCGCGCGAGGGGCCCTCCCGTAGGCCCGAGGGCGCGTGCGCGAGAGCCCGCCGCCCCCGCCCCCACGTACCGGGCCCGAGCAGGGCCGGAGCCGCCAGCGGCGGGGCGGGGGGGGCGCCCCGATGAGCCCCGAGTGCGAGGAGCCGCCGCCCCTCCGCGCAGGTGAGCTGCCGCCCGTGCGGTCGCCGGGCCGGGCACCCCGAGTCCCGCACCGCGTCCCCGGGAGCCCCGCCGGGTCCCTCAGCTCCCGCCGCCCCTTCTCTCCTCCCGGGGCTCCTCCAGCAGCCGCGGCCCTCAGCCCCCCAAGTCCCTCAGCCCCCAAGTCCCTCAGCCCTTCCTCAGCCCCCCAAATCCCTCAGCCCCCCAAATCCCTCAGACTTTCCTCAGCCCCCCAAGTCCCTCAGCCCCCAAATCCCTCAGCCCCCAAGTCCCTCAGCCCTTCCTCAGCCCCCCAAATCCCTCAGCCCCCCAAATCCCTCAGACTTTCCTCAGCCCCCCAAGTCCCTCAGCCCCCAAATCCCTCAGCCCCCAAGTCCCTCAGCCCTTCCTCAGCCCCCCAAATCCCTCAGACTTTCCTCAGCCCCCAAGTCCCTCAGCCCCCAAGTCCCCCAGCCCTTCCTCAGCCCCCCAAGTCCCTCAGCCCCCCAAGTCCCTCAGCCCTTCCTCAGCCCCCAAATCCCTCAGCCCCCCAAATCCCTCAGACTTTCCTCAGCCCCCAAGTCCCTCAGCCCCCAAGTCCCTCAGACTTTCCTCAGCCCCCACGTCCCTCAGATTTTTCCTCAGCCCCCCAACTCCCCCCCTGTAGGTGATCCCCACTCCGCTCCTTGGCTTCCCTTCCCAGGCCCCCCCCATCTCCCCTCCTCAGACCCGCCCCTGGCACCCCTCCGGCCGGTCCTCTGGTGGCTTTTGCTCCCTCCGCCCCGCCCGCCCCCGGGCCCGGCACCTGGGCGCTGGGCTTGGGGGCACTTCCGTTCTCCACGCTGCGGCTGCGGAGGGCAGGGCCTGCAGGCCCGGGCGCTGGCGGGTAGTGGCTCTGGGTGCGAGCAGGCCGCCGCCTTGGGGACCCCGGCCCTGGGCCACCCCACCTGCAGGGCCGAGGCACGGGTCACCCAGGGAGCCGGGGCCGTGGGAGGCGGCCCGGGTGGCACCGGTGGAACTGGCCCGGCGGGCGGCTGTCTCTCTAGGAAGGAGGCGTGGGCGTGGGGACGGGCTGGGAGCCGGCCCTTCCCTGTGGCGGGAGCCGCGCGTGCACCAGGAAGGCGGGGACCGGGGCCTGGGCTCCGGGTCTGCGTGTTGGGAGGCAGGGGGCTGCTCGGCCGTGCCCTGGAGGGTGACCTAGTGCGGTCCTTTCTTCTTCTCCTTCTTTTTAAATTATATATTTTTATTGATTACAGAGAGGAAGGGAGAGGGAGAGAGAGAGAAACATCAAGGATGAGAGAGAATCCTGGATCAGCTGCCTCCTGCACGCCCCACACTGGGGATCGAGCCTGTAGCCCGGGCCTGTGCCCTGACCGGGAATCGAACCCAGGTCCTCCTGGTTCCTAGGTTGGTGCTCAACCACTGAGTCATGCTGGCCGAGGGGTTTTCTTTCTTTTCTTTAAAAATATGTTTTATTGATTATTTTATAGAGAGGAAGGGAGAGGGACAGAGAGTTAGAAACATCGATGAGAGACAGCGGATCAGCTGCCTCCTGCAGACCCCCTACTGGGGATGTGCCCGCAACCAAGGTACATGCCCCTGACAGGAATGGAACCTGGGACCTCTCAGTCCTCAGGCTGACGCTCTATCCACGGAGCCACACCGGCCAGGGCCCGAGGTCTTTCTTGCTGCTCTTTGATGACGTGCAGCATACGGTCCCTTGTCCGCCAGCCTGGAAAGCAGGGCGTTCCTGTGAGACAGCTGGGCTGTCAGGTGTGGTTTGGGGTTGAGAGCGGTAAAGCGGCATCCGTGGGGGCTCCCATCCTCCCCCGAGGCTGCTCCTGGGGCGATCGGCTGGCGGCCCTGGGTACACGCCGGGAGCAGGGTGCGGGGCCCCGAAGGCGGTTAGGGTTTGGTTTGGGATAATCTTGGGTAGTGGCTTTCCCCTGGGGGTGATTGTGTCCCCCAAGGGACGCTGGCCTTGGCTGGAGACGGTTTTGGTTGTTAGGACCAGTGGGGGCGGGCGAGGGGAGGGTTTCTGATGGGTAGAGTCCGGGGTGTTGGCAAGCTGTGCCCGGGACGGAGCCCACCCAGTGCCCGCACCCTGCCCTCGGGCGTGATGTAGTCGGCCGGTCAGCTCTGCTGCCGCCCAGGAGCCACTGTGTGTTGTGTGTGTTGACTGACTTCCGGTCGGCCGTCTCCAGTCCCAGCAACTTCTCGGCATCTGTGGCCCCGGGACCTGCAGTTTCATTCATTCACTAGGTCGTCCCCCCCCCCCCCCCCCCCCGGCTGGGGCCTGCTCCTGTGCTGGGTCCTGGGAGACGGGCCCCCGGCAGGGGAGGCAGGTGACCCAACAGAGAGACGCTGTCACAGAGCCCCCGGCGCTGTCACAAGGCCGCCACGGAAGCCGTGGAAGCCCGGCCCGGCGCAGTCAGGGAGGCTTCTTGGAGGAAGTGGTGGCTGCGCCGAAGCCTGAAGGACCCCAAGTGAGGCCCTGGGAGCCGGAGCAGAGGCGGGCGGGAGCCTCGGGCCGGGGCCGGGGCGCCGAGGAGCGCCCGGTGTGGCGGGAGTGCTGAGCGCCATGCGGGTGGCCGGCAGAGATGAGGTGAGCGGCCGGTGCTGGTGCGAGAGGCCTTCCCGCCGGGGCCCGCAGTGGGCAGGCCCACACGGGGGTGGGGACACGCCAGCCTCCGGGGCCGGCCGGCCGAGGCTCTTCCCCGTGCGGTCAGCCGGGGCCCCCGGGGGTAGGTCCGGTGGCAGCCACGGCGACCTCGGTTTGGACAGGCAGGATGGGACCCAGGCCTTTAAGGGCTGTTTCCAATCCTGTGTGTGTGTGTGTGTGTGTGTGTGGTGCCTTTCTTGTTCCTTTGCACCCATGGTCCGTCCCGGAGACAGGACTGAGTGGGAGCTTTCGGCCCTCGGCCTGGTGTCCCCGCCGCTTCTGTGTGCTGGCTGCCACCCTCTGGGTTTGGACCGGCACAGCCGCCCCCTAGGAGAGTCAGCTCTGGGGTCAGAGGGCAGGGCGCCTGACGGGGGCGCCCCAGGCTTTCCCGAACCTGCCGTGTGGCCTTGGCCAGGTCCCTCTCCGCCTCCTCTCCCCTGGGGGCGGGGGTCTCCGCCGCCTGCCTGCCGGGTCTGTCTCGGGCTGTGTGGCAGCACATGTACGGCGTCCTGCCGCTGCCAGCTTCCCGTCCGTGGAGTCAGGCGTCCCCGTCCCCGTCCCCTTTCCAGGTTTGGCCGAGGGGACAGTGGGTGGGGGAGTCAGGGAGGTGGTCTGGGGACGGACGGGCTGCCAGCAGTGGGGCTCCCGTGGGCTCGCCTGGTCTGTCTCCCTGGAGCAGCCAGTGTCCTGAGGGTGGCAGCCTCTGCCGAGCCCTGGGGCCAGGGCCGGGGAGGAAGGGGTGTGGGCGAGAGGGTTGCCCTCGGGCCCCCGGCAGGCGGAGCTGTGTGGACGGCGGGGCAGCAGGGACAGTGGGGACGGCCCCGCAGCCCCGCAGCCACGCCGACCCCGAGCGGCAGAGGGGGGTGTTGTGCTCGGTGGCTTCCTTTCCCGCGGCAGCCCCCCTCTTCCGCTTGCGGCCGGCTTCGCTGTCAAACGGTCGCTAAAACCAGCGGCAGTCACTTCCGTTTTCTTGGTTTGCTACAAGCTGAAGGGTGGGGGTGGCGGGAGTGTGGCGCCCGACGCTGTTTGAATGACTCGATCACGCAGGCAAACGGGCTGCCCCCCCCCCCCCTTTGGCCACCCCGGGGCGCGGGGTCCCCTTCCCTCCGCCCAGCGTCCTCGGGCCGACAGGAAGTTCCGGGCCAGCACCTGCCGGGCTCGCCTGTCACCTGCCTGAGCCAGCGTCCGTACAGCGGCCTTCCGGCCGGAGGTGCCCATTTCGCCCACAGGAAGCGAGGCTCCCGGATGCCAGGTGCCTGGCCCAGGGCACCCGATGGAGAAGGAGAGCCGCCGCCTGTCCAGGCCCAGGAAGGCCCGAGGGCCTGGGCTGGAGCGCGGAGCGATTGTGGCGGAGGCTTCCTTTTCCTCCGTGTGTCCCCTTCCGTCCCACTGGCCTCCGTGCTCTGTGTTGCGTTGAGAAGTGACGTGTGTAGGCCCCCAACACTTAGTCGCCTGTTTTGGCAGCCTCCTCGGAGGGGCCACCTGAGGTTCGGAGAGCTGAAGGGGCCACTGGGCTGTGAGGCCCCTGGATCCACAGTCTATGTCACCCGCCTCCCCCGTCGTATCGCAGCCGCCCCCTCCCTGCTGGAAAGCCAGCTGTGGAGGGAAGCCCACCTGCTGTCCAAAGCAGGGGGGCTGAGGGAGATTGGGGGGGAACAGCCTGCACCCTCTAACCATGGCTTTGGAAGGGCTGGGCCTCTAGTCAGGACAGTGGGGCTTGCAGGGCCTGGGTCCGGGGTCTGCCTCTTGGCAGGCGGGGCTCCTCCCTGTGGGCCACGTCCCTGCCTCTGTCACATGGGAATAAACGCCGCTCCACCATCCTCCTGCTGCCCCACGCGGTGCAGGTTCTGGGCAGGGCCGGCTGGGCCCTACCTGCCCCACCTGGGGGCACCTAGTGCGGGGACTGATGGGGAGGTGGGGAGGGGGACGGGGTGGCTCCGCGGCAGCTGGCGCCCCGGCAGCCGGGTGACGGCCCGGCCCCGCACGGGCAGCCTGGTCTGTTTGTCTTGGTGACGGTTTGTTGAGATGTAATTCATACACCGTGTGATTCACCGCGCGCCGCGCGCCGGGCAGGGGCTCCTGCTCGGCCACAGCTGCAGCCTCCCGCGATGGGCGTTCGGGTGGAGGCGTGACTGACAGGGAAGTGGTACGGAATCGGTTTTAGGACTTTGGGGGGGCTTCTGGTGGAAGGAAACCCTGTGCCTGTCGGCAGCCCTCTCCCGGCTCCTGATGGAGGCCCATGACGGGGGTCCCCGGTGGCGGCCTTTCGGCCTCTCTGGCCCCTTACTGCTGATGTGGGAGCAGGCGGTGTGCTTGCCACGTCAGGTCCTTGCTTCTTGTGGCCCAGGTGACGCCACCCAGCTCAGGCTCCGTGCCAGGCTCCGTGCCAGGCTCCAGCCCAGGCTCCAGCCCGGTGCTGACAGCAGCCTCAGGAGGGGGGTGCCGTGCGGTTCTGTCACGCAGGCAGGGCGTGGGTAGCGCCCGTGGGTCATTCCTGTGACTGATGTGCCCGGCAGGCTGGGACCCACGTACCGGAGGTGGTGGGCAGGGGCCCTTGGCGCTTTGAATTCCGGGACTGGAGCGGCCATCCTGGGCTTTGCGCCAGGAACCAACGTGAGGCACTCACCTCGGTGGCTCTGGGAAGTGGCCTGAGTGGGGGTGGGGTGAAGGCCGGACTGTCTGTCTGTGAGGACAGGACCCTGGGGGGCTGTCCCCTCCTGGCTGGCCTGCATCCGGCCATGCCTCCAGGCGGGTCGCCGGGGCTAGGAGCAGACACAGACCCTCAGGATGGCTGTGGATTTAGAGCCACGTGTTCCTGGGCTGCCGAGGGGACAGGCTCCGGGGAGGCCGGAGGGGAGCGGGGGCAGCGGTGCCTTGAATGGTCAGAGGCTTGGAAGGCTGGTCACTGCCCCCTGGCCCCGCCCTGGCTCAGTCCGGCTGCTTCCCTGTCAGCGTCGTTCTCCTCCGGCTGTTGCTCTGTCCTGGCTGGCGTGCCGTCCATGCCGCGCGGTGTGGGCAGAGCGGGCTCGGGCATCGGAGAAGAGGGCCTGGCCGGCGGGTCTGGAGGTGCCCAGGAGGGACTCGTCCCCTGGGTCCGTTCGCGGTGGCCTCTGCCTCGGGTGTGAGCTGGCCAGTGCCCGTGCTGTGCTGCAGAGCCCCGGCTGCCCTGGGCGTGAGTTGCCCTTGGGTAATGGGGTGATGCATCCCTCAGACAGGGCGGTGGGGACAGCAGCCCGGGGTGGGGTCGGCAGCTGGTGGTCTGGACTGAGGGGTCTGTGGGGTACACTGAGTTCGGGTCCACCCGGCGCCTGGTGAGCGCTCTGCAGGAGATGCTCTTGATGCTACAGCCTGGCCTAAGGGTCACAGCCAGGACGCCCTCCCGCTGAGCCGGGGACCCTGTCTGTCATGCATCCTTCTGCCCGTCCGTGGCTGTCCTGGGAACGCCCCCCGTTTCCCTCTTCCCTGTCCTGGGCTGTGGGTGGGGAGGGGGTTGGGCGTGTTTGTGTGTGTGTGTGTGGCATCCAGGCAACGGCACAGACTTCCCTTGCCTGCCACCGCCCCACGCCCTGCACCACGTGGCGGTTCGCTGGGCTACATGGTAGCTGCGTGCTGGCCGTCATGGGCACTTAAATTTGTTCAGCAAATAGATTGAAGCGAGTTTGATGGCCGGGCTTCCAGGATGAGCACAGCTCTGGCCCCGCCTGGGGGCCCCTGCCCAGCTGTGGGGACAGCACGGGACTCTCCCTTGCGGGCCCTGGGCACGGTGCACACTCGGGCCTCTCTGGGCCTGGGGCTGAGGGTTGAGCAGGACAGAGGGCCTCAGGGGTCTGGACCAGAGGCAGCTCGGGGAGCCCTGGGGCCCGGTGCTTGCCAAGTTGGCCGGCGGGCTCCGCGGTGACAGCCCCTCCCCGCAGGGCGCCATGTTCTGGAAGTTTGACCTGCACACGAGCTCGCACCTGGACACGCTGCTGGAGCGGGAGGACCTGAGCCTGCCCGAGCTGCTGGACGAGGAGGACGTGCTGCAGGAGTGCAAGGTGGTCAACCGCAAGCTGCTGGACTTCCTGCTGCGGCCGCCGCACCTGCAGGCCATGGTGGCCTGGGTCACCCAGGAGCCGCCGGCCAGCGGCGAGGAGCGGCTGCGCTACAAGTGAGCTGCGCGGCCCGTCCCCGGGGCTCCCGGTGGGGCGAGGAGGCCGAGGCGGGGGGCCGGGCGCCGGAGTGCAGGCCTACAGCCTGGGCTGCGTGGAAGCGTCTTGATTGTGGGGAGCAGCGGCTGGCCAGTCTTGTTTCATTGCCCCCCCCCCCCCATCCTTTCTCCTGCGTCTTCTCCCATTGGGCTTTTGTCGAGATGAGTGTAGCATCCAGTGCAGTTGTGAGGAGGAATCAGAGCTCCCTGTACCCCGCCTGCCCCCCCCCCCCCCCCCCCCCCGTGACTGAGCACCCTACAGCCCAGCGTCCCAGGGGGTGACGTCACGTGGCCTAGAGCAAGTCCTCTAGCTCCAGGCAGTCTTCTCACCGGGAGTTCTCTTGTAACGTTCCTCCTGCGGAGCATAAGTTGGATGACATGTGCCTGTGCCCAGCTGGTGCCAAGAGCAGAGTTGGCATGGCCCTGGGTGGCCACCGCTGCCCCCTCCCCCCGCTTCCCGCACACTCCTCTGTCCTTCTCTCCCACCCACCCCGTCACCCCACGGGTACTGAGGGCCCTGGGTGTGCTGGGGCCAGGCTGGCAGGGCCCTGTTGGGGGCACTTCCGTCCGCCCTGGTCCACCGCCCTTCTCGGGCCCTGCACAGCCCATGCCTGACACGGCTCCCTTCGGTTCGTCCTCCCTGGTCCCCGGTGCCGCCCTCTGCCCGGCCCCCACACCCCTGGGTGGTATGCGGTCTCATCTCTGTGGTTTCTGTGCCTGCGGCCTGAGCCAGATGGTGTGTGGGAGAGGGCTGCCCGTGCCCTTTGTAAAGTGGGAGTGATGTGGGTGCGGGGACCTCTGGCAGGGTCAGCAGACCCCTCTGACGTCCATCTCTCTGTCATATACCTGCTCCCTCCTGTGCTCTGACCTCAGGCCAGCGTCCCCCTCCCAGCGTCCCCCCTCCTTTGAGTGTGTCCAGTGGCTCCAAGGACTGGGGTCTCGCTCACAGGAGCCGGAAACACTGAGGGAGCCTCCATTTTGCCGCCAGTGTATGGAGGGGGTGGGGGGAGTGTAGATCACCGGGCAGACTGTGAAGGGGAGGCTCTGGTGGTGACCCGGGCCGGGGCGGGCCCTGGGGACCAGCAGGTGGCTGCAGGAGGTGACCGCTCCCTGTGGGGTCAGGAGGGTGGGCGTGCTGTGGGGTTCTGACAGGGAGGTGAGAATGGCGCTGCTGGCTCTCCCCCTTATCTGCTTCCCTCTCTGGATGTGACAGCCCCCTCCCCGCCCCCAGGTACCCCAGTGTGGCCTGCGAGATCCTGACCTCGGATGTGCCCCAAATCAATGACGCCCTGGGCGCCGACGAGTCCCTGCTGAACCGGCTCTACGGCTTCCTGCAGAGCAGCGGCTGCCTCAACCCGCTGCTGGCCAGCTTCTTCAGCAAGGTCATGGGCATCCTCATCAACCGAAAGACGGACCAGGTACCCGCCGACCTGGGCGCCCCTGCGGGCGGGCGGGCGGGCGCGGCCGGTCCCGCCGTCTGACGTGCCCGTGCCCGCAGCTCGTGTCCTTCCTGCGGAAGCAGGACGACTTCGTGGACCTGCTGCTGCAGCACATCGGCACCTCGGCCATCATGGACCTGCTGCTGCGGCTCCTCACCTGCGTGGAGCGGCCCCAGCTGCGGCAGGAAGTGGTCAACGTGAGCTCCGGGGCGGGCGGGCCGGCCGGCCGGGAGGGGCGGGGCCTGGAGGCGGGCCAGTGAGCGGAGCCCGCCTTCTTTCTCACCCCAGTGGCTCAACGAGGAGAAGATTGTCCAGCGGCTCATCGCGCAGATCCACCCGTCCAAGGATGACAATGTGAGTGTCCCAGACACACCGCCCTCCCGAGGCGGGTGCCCATCTCCCTGCTCCCTGGCGTGGTGGCGGAGCAGAACGGGGTTTACCCACAGGATGTTTCCAGCCTGGAAGTTGGCACAGCCTCCCTTGAGCCAGCAGGTCTGGTGAGGGGCCTCTGTGTCCCGGCGCTGTCCCAGCATCCTCGCTGCTGCCCTCCCCGGGCCACTCCCCACCCCCAGCTGGCTCTGCCTGGAGAGCCTGCTTGTTCTTCAGAGAATCCACCTGGGGCCTCGCTCCTCTGCCCCACGGGTGCAGGTGGTCAGCACCCAGGGCCGGCCTGTCCCCATCCCGGGAGGGTGGCGGCTGTCCAGGCCTTGGTGGCAGAGGGACAGGGAGCCCACTGTGAGCCTGCCCGGGTCCAGGCTGCCTGTGGGTCCTGGGTGTCTGCCCAGGTGCTGGTCTTGCGTGGCCTTTCTGGCAGCAGCTCTCCCGAGACTGAGTCACATGCTCTGCCCACCTGTTCCTCACGTGGACTCGGTGCTCCGTGTGCTCAGGGGCAGCTGTCACCGAGCTGGTGTGCGCCGCTCCAAAAAGGAGACCCTGTGCCCATCGGCGGCCCCCCATTCCCCTCCTGTGCCCAGCCCCTGGCAGCACCGGTCCGCATCCAGTCTCTGGGTTTGCCTCTTCTGCGTGTTTCATATACATGCAGTCACACGTGTGGTCCACGGTTGGCCTTGGTCTGAACACTGTGTCCTGTGTGCATCCGTGTTGTAGCGTGTCGGTGCTTCATCCCTGGCTAAGGCCGAGGATCGCTCTGCTCAGTGGGTGGATGCCCCTTTGGCCATGACGGGCACAGGGCTTCTGTGGACGTCTCCTTTTCCAGGAAGCCTTCCTGGGTTTCCTCCTTTCTCTGCCGTCTCTTCCCTCCAGTGTTTGGTGTCTGGAGCTCCGGTCCTTGTGTCTCTGTGCCTGTGCCATTCTCCTCCCCGTTCCTAAGGGCCGGGGCCAGATGGCCAACTCATGGGGGTGCAGACACCGGGCTGTGGGGGCCTGGCAGCCAACTGGGTCCTCAGTGCTCTCTCTGCTCCCTGCCTGCCCCTCCCCCCCCCAGCAACATTCCAACGCGTCGCAGTCCCTCTGCGACATCATCCGCCTGAGCCGGGAGCAGGTGATCCAGGTCCAGGACAGCCCGGAGCCCGACCAGCTGCTGGCCACCCTGGAGAGGTGGGTTTGCAGGAGCACTGGCCCCGGGGGGGGACGCCGGCCTGGGAGCCTGGGTCCCAGCCCTTGACCCTGACCCTGACCCCTCTGCCACAGGCAGGAGACGATTGAGCAGCTCCTGAGCAACATGCTGGAGGGGCAGCTGAACCCGTCCGTGCTCGTCAACGGGATCCAGGTGCTGCTGACGCTGCTGGAGCCCCGGCGGCCACGGTGAGGGCGTGTGTGTGTGTGTGTGTGTGTGTGTCCCCTCCCCGCTCTGCGGCGCCCGGAGGGCTGGGGTCACTGCGGTCCCAGAGCCCTCCCGTTCCCACCTGCCAGCCGAGGACACCGGCCAAGTCAGCTGCCCACGGCTTCCCGCTGGCGTCCACCCAGGGCCCCGCGGGCGTCACTGTCCAGCACGCAGTGGGGCTTCCACCCTAGGGCCTCAGGCCCTGGTGCCTCCCTCAGGCCCGCCTCGTGTCCTGGCAGCCCCTCACTCCTCTCCAGGTGTGCTCATACATGCACGCGTGCGTGTGCACCGGCTGTCCGGGCCGCTCACTGCCCTCCGCCCTGCCTGCTGCAGGTCCGAGTCCGTGATCGTGAACAACTTCTTCAGCAGCGTGGACGGGCAGCTGGAGCTGCTGGGCCAGGCCACGCTGGACAGCCCCGTGTCCAGCATGGGCGCCCTGCACGCCCTGCGCCCGCGGCTCAGCCGTTTCCACCAGCTCCTGTTTGAGCCGCTGGAGGTGGGCTGGGCGGCCCGGGGGTGGCGGGAGGGTGCTCCCGGGCCCGGGCAGCCGTGGCCGGGAATGGAGCCGCCTCTGTGTCTGCAGCTGGAGCCCCTGCGCACGACTTGTGGGGTCCTGGCCCCGCCTCTGGGCAACACACGGCTGCACGTGGTCAAGCTGCTGGCCAGCGCCCTGAGCGCCAACGACGCGGCCCTGACCCAGGAGCTCCTGGCACTGGACGTGCCCAACACCATGCTGGTGCGGGGGCAGGGCTGGGGCGGGGGGGGGGTAGGGTGGGCCTCGGGGGGTCTCCATGCCAGCCCGCACCTCCCCTCCCCCTCAGGACCTCTTCTTCCACTATGTGTTCAACAACTTCCTGCACACGCAAGTGGAGGCGTGCGTGAGCACCATGCTGAGCGCCGGGCCCCCTGCCGACAGCAGCGTGGAGACGCCCGCCCCCAACCTCGGCGTGAAACACGTGAGCAGGGCCTTGCGGGTCCCCTCCCCCTCCCACAGGCTGGGCCCCGCCCCATGTCTGTCCCCGCCTGTCCTGTGCTTGGTGTGGTGTCCCATCCTGGGGGTGGGGCCTCAGACTGGTCTTCAGGTCATGCCTGGGGGAAAGAGGGTGACAGGGGAAGGGAGGGCAGTGAGCTCAGGAGGGGGGGTGTCCTGGGAAGGACGTCCTCAGGGTGGCAGCTGCCTGGCCCTCAGAGGAGCGGTTCGGTGGGAGCTGGCGTTTGCTGTCTGGAGGGATGGGGCTCGGACAGGCCGAGGGTGTTTGAGGAGCAGAGTGGGCTCGTCGGGGAGGGGCAGGCTGTGTGGATGGAGCGCTGTGCGTTCCAGAGGGAGCAGTGGGGGCCGCCTCGGCTCCGGCCAGTCTGCGGGCGGCGCTGTGACTGCTGGTCCCCCCACAGCTGCTGCAGCAGTGCCGCCTGGTGGAGCGCATCCTGGCGTCCTGGGAGGAGAACGAGCGTGTGCAGTGAGTGTCCCTCCCGCCGTCCTTCCGGGTGGGCGTGGCTGGGCGGCCAGTGTCCAGCTTCGGCCTCCCCCCAGGTCCGCAGGCGGCCCGCGGAAAGGCTACATGGGCCACCTGACGAGGATGGCCAACGCGCTGGTGCAGAACGCCGAGAAGGGGCCCAACGCCGAGCAGCTGGGGCAGCTGCTGAAGGAGATGCCGGCGGAGCAGCAGGAGCAGTGGGAGGCCTTCGTGTCGGGACCCCTGGCCGAGACCAACAAGAGGAACATGGTGGACCTGGTGAGGCCCAGCTTCCCGCTTCCGCAGTGCCCGCGCCGGGTCCCCTCGGACAGGCCCTCACCGCCCCGCTGCCCCTCCCCAGGTGAACACACACCACCTGCACTCCTCCAGCGACGACGACGACGAGCGGCTCAAGGAGTTCACCTTCCCCGAGGAGGCCGTGCTGCAGCAGGTGGGGCTCCGGGCGGGCCCGCCCTGTGTCCCCTGCCCTCCCGCCCCCGACCAGCCCCGCGCTCCTGCCCTGACCATCCCAGTCCTCCCGCCCTGACCATTCCTGTCCTCCCGCCCTGACCATCCCTGTCCTCCCGCCCCCGACCATCCCTGTCCTCCTGCCCTGTGTCCCCTGTCCTCCCGCCCCCCGACCAGCCCCGCGCTCCCGCCCTGACCATCCCTGTCCTCCGGCTCTGTGTCCTCTGTCCTCCCGCCCCCCCGACCATCCCCCCGCTCCCGCCTGACTGCCCTCCCGCCCTGACCATCCCTGTCCTCCCACCCTGTGTCCCCTGTCCTCCCGCCCTGACCATCCCTGTCCTCCCGCCCTGTGTCCCCTGCCCTCCCGCCCCCGACCATCCCCGCGCTCCCGCCCTGACTGTCCTCCCGCCCTGACCATCCCTGTCCTCCCGTCCGCGCTTCCGCAGGCCTTCATGGATTTTCAGATGCAGCGCATGACCTCGGCCTTCATTGACCACTTCGGCTTCAACGACGAGGAGTTCGGGGAGCAGGAGGAGAGTGTGAAGTGAGTGTGCCGCCGTCGGAGGCTGCCTGCGCGGCCTCTGCCCTCCTCCCCGGGCCCGCCCTGGTCTGGTCGCTGGGAGGCTGGGGTGGGCCACCGGGCCCCTCCGGAGGCTGCTCAGTGGCCGGTTCTGCGTGTTGGTGCTGGTGGCAGAAGCATCTAAAAACCGCCTCTGGGTATGGTCGTGAGCGTTCTTCCCGTCTCCCGAACGTTCCGCCACGGGCACCTGTGGCTTTCCGTCAGAGGAATGCCAGCTAAGGAGCATGTAGCTGTGTGGCAGCACCATATAGCGAAGGGCAGGAGCAGCCAGGGCCCCCTTGCTGAGTCTGGTCCTGCTACTGTCAGCCCCCGGCCGGGCAGATCCTGCTACTGTCATGGCCCGGTGTCCAGGGCACCCGGGGCCCTGAGGGTAGTGCCCGCCGAGCGGAGAAAGCCCTGGTTCAGGGACAGGCAGGCGGGCACCACTGAGACAGGGTTCCTGCTCCGCCTGTCCCCTCGGGCACCCTCGCGAGATGGACGATGTCAGCTCTGCCCACATCCACAGGGGGGCCTGCGCCGCGTGGGGAGTGGGAGCCAGGGGGCCGATGGCAGAGGCGCCGCTGCGGGTAGCGAGGGCACGTGCGGGCAGGGAGGAGCGGCAGGAGGCAGCCTGTCCCGCCTCAGCCTCCTCACCCCCCCGCTTCTCCCCAGCGCGCCTTTCGACAAGACGGCCAACATCACCTTCTCCCTCAACGCTGACGACGAGAACGTGAGTGACGCCCCATGCCCTGGGGGTGGGGGCTGTGGGCAGTGCCGCCTACTCACCTGCCCCTGCCCCCCGCCCCGCAGCCCAACACCAACCTGCTGGAGATCTGCTACAAGGACCGCATCCAGCAGTTTGATGACGAGGAGGAGGAAGAGGAAGAGGGCCAGGGCTCTGGGGAGTCCGATGGGGAGGACGGCGCCTGGCAGGGCAGCCCGCTGGCCAGGGAGGCCCGCCTGGGCCCGCCCCCAGGTGTGCGGTGAGTCCTCCCGCCCTCCTGCTCCGGGCCTGGTGGTATCGCGGGGGCTGCGGGGCCCACGGGGGCAGTTCCCGTCGGCTCAGGGAGGTAGAAGCCTGGGGAACGGGGTGTGTGTGGGGCCGCTGGGCCCTGAGGGTGGGAGCCCCGCTCTGTGGGGTGAGCTCCAGCAGGAGCCGGGCCCGGCTCTTTGTGGCTGCAGCTCAAGGGGCTCCTTCGGGTGTGGCTGATGCAGGTGCGTCTGCAGCCAGCACCTCCCTCCCCCTGGACTGTGCTCTCGGGGCGCAGCGCTCAGGCAGGGGCCCCCAAAAGGCGGCTGTCCCACTGGCTGCCTCCCCCCGTTTCAGTAACAGGACAGGTGACGATGGTCCCTTCCTCAGGTGACCTGTGACCGGGTCTCTGCGCCATTGCGCTGTTTTCCTCCCTACGGGCTGCCCGGGGCTTGTGGTGGGAGCCAGAGGGTTTACCTTCCTGACGGCATGGAAGGAGCATGCAGGCGCGGGTGAATCCTGAGGTTTGGCCAGTGGGCACCCCTCTGCCACGTGGAACCATCCCTGTCCCCCTGCCGGCTACTGCCTACCTGCCCAGGGGGGGACGCTGCCCAGACCCCTGCTGGGTAGGCGGGTGTGGCGTTGTGTGCCGGGGCCATCGCTGTGGGGTGCCTCTTGGCCCGCCCAGGGGTGCCGCTGGGTGAGCAGCCAAGGCCCAGGTCATGGTCACCACGTCTTCCTAAGAGGTGACAGCCTTAGCCTCACGTTCGGGTTTGGTGTCTTCTGAGCGACGGGCAGGTCTACCTCATTCCTGGTTCGTGGGCAGCCCGGCCCAGCAGCCCCTGCTGAGGGGCCTGTCCCTTCCCCACGACGGGGCCATGGACTGCGTGAGGGTGTGCCTGCCCCGTGTCCTGGCCCGCGGCCCGGACGGCCGTCTTGATGCGCCGACTGCTGTCCGGGTCCCTGTGTGTGCGGTGGGTGTGAGACGGGTGTGCTCTGCCGTTTCGCTCAGGTTGTGTTGATGGTACGGGATCCCTTGGGATTGATTCCTGGGAATTTGGGTATCTGCTTGTCTGTTTCAGCGAGGGCCTGGAGCCTCCGCTGGGGTAAATGTGGGCGTTGTCTGTCTCTCCTGGCCCCTGCGGGTGCGGTGTGTCTCCCTGAGTTTGGGTATTTTTAGCTTCCAGCAGCGTTTTAAAGTTTTTCAGAGCGTCTGTTTTTATGTCTTTTCTTGAATTGATTCCTAATTGTTAGATTCTCCTCAACGCACCGGTGAGTGGGATTGTCGCTAGTCACTGAGGGGTAACAAGGGGATAGAAAGGCGGTAGCTCTGGGCATCGGCCCGCCTCCCGTGCCCTCTGGGTACACCCGTCCCTCGGCACTTCCTGCCTAGAGTACAGGCGCCCCCTGCAGTCGGGTTACTCTTTCCTTCCGGCCTGGACGGCGGAGCAGATGTGGGGCGTCTTGTTCCTGATGTTGGGGGACCGGGTGGTGCGAGTGGGTTAGGGCGGCCCCCCCCCCCCCCCCCCCCCCCGGTTGGAGAATCACTCCTGTCCCATTGGCCGGGCCTGGATCTGACTTCAGGGAGAGCAGCTCCCTCCCTCGCCGCGCTCAGCATCTGCTCCGCGGCCCCGTCGGTGGGCGGGGTGGCCGGGGGCTTGGTCTGCGGCTCAGTCACCCAGCACTGTTCTAGGAGCAGCTGCACGGGCTCACTGCTCTCAGCGGTGACGAGTCCCTCCCAGCCCCTGGCCGGTTTGGCCCGTGGGCTGAAGGATGCTGGTTTGATTCCAGTCCAGGGCACACACCCCCGTTACAGGCTCAGGCCCTGGCCCGGTCAGGGCGTGTGTGCGGGAGGCAACCAGTTGATGTGTCTCTCTTGCACTGTGTCCCTCCACACTTCTGCTCACTACCGTTCAGTGGGCAGCCATCCTCGGGTGAGGATTAGCAGCAACAAAGAGCCCCCGAGCTGTTGCGGGAAGAAGCCTGTCCCCGAGATGCCGTGTGCTGGGAGGGAGACTGGGGGCCCTGCCTGCCCTGGATCAGCAGGAACTTCCCCATCCTTGTGTTACCCTTCACATGTGGGGGGCAGCCTTGAGGGTGGGGGGGTGAGGGGGTGAGGGGGTTGGGAGGTGGGGATGGGCACGCTTCCCGTTGTTCTCCCTGTACCAACAGCTCCTCTGGTTTCTGGGGCAGGAGCAGAGGCAGCACAGATAGCGAGGACGATGAGGAGGAAGAGGAGGAGGAGGACGGCGAGGAGGACGGCCAGGGGGCCCACGATGGGGCCGGGCCCCCCTCTGACCCCCACCCTGGCCCCCAGCCTCCTAGTGAGTGACCACGCGGGTGGGATCCGGTGGACACAGCATCTGCCTGCCCTGCTCACTGCCGCCTGCTCTCTCCCAGGCCCCAGCTGGGCAGCCGCCCCTGACCCAGTGCCTCCAGACACCCCAGCCGCCCCCCCAGACTCTGGGGAGAAGGAACCGCGCTCTGGGGCCCCTGCCCCTCAGGGGCCGGTCGCTGTGCCCCAGGACCTCCCCGCCCCGAGCCCAGCCGACCCCGCGGCCCCAGGCACTCTGCAGCTCAGGTGAGGCCGCGGGCCGGGCTGGGGGCGGCTCCGTCTGGTTCCCAGGCTCCAGCCAACTGCCGCCCCTTGGCTGCTTCCCCCTCCAGGTCCCAAGACCCCGCCCCCCCCTCAGCACCTCAGGAAGCCTCCGATGGCGGTGGCGGCCGAGTAGTGGAGCCCTCAGGTCAGCCCCTGCCCCCCGCCGCCTGCCCCCGCCTCCCCACGCTGCCTCCGGCCTGCACCCGCTGCTCAGGCTCTCCCTCTTGTCTTCCCCAGCCCCCTGCCAGGCCTTGGTCAGCATCAAGGACCTCCAGGCCACCATCCGAAGGACAAGCTCCACCCCCAGCTCCTTGGACAGGTGACCTGCGGGGCAGTTTCTGGGGAGCATGTGGGAGGTGAATGAAGCCTGGCTTTTGGGATGGTTGCTACTCCGGAGCTGCTCCAGGGCCCTGTGCCCGTGTCCACAGGACAGGACCTTGCTGCCCAGGGCCTCTGCCCACGCTGCCCTCCAGCTCTGCGGGAGCCCCGTGGGCGGGAGGGGCCAAGGGGAGGGGCACGCAGACCGGTGTCCCCCGTGAGGACTTCCTGCCCAGCTGCCCAGGGTCTTCGGGCGGGTCAGGGCTGCGGGCGGGCCTACAGCTGGGCCTGAGTGCCTGACCCCGACTCCCCACAGTGCAACCAGAGACCCTGCTACCTCTGTCCCAGCCCTTGGGGCCCCCCAGCCCCCCCAGACCATGGAGAAGGAGAAGAGCCCAGAGCCCATGGGGTGAGTGTGGGTGGCCATGGTGGGCGGGGGGGGGGGGCAATGGGGGGAGGCACTGACCTCCCTTGTCCCCTCTCCCCACAGTTCCCAGGCCCTCCAGCTGCCTCCAGTTTCCAACAGCTCTGCCCAGGGAGGCCCGGCGTCCCCAGGCGCCCAGTGAGTCCAGGCCAGGGCTGCGGTGGGGGTGTGGGGGGCAGTGGCCCGCAGCTCCTCACCCCTCTCCCTCTTGGTTCCCAGGTAGCTGCCTGGTTCCGGTGATGGCGGCCAAACCCTCGTCCGCTGCGCGGATCCTGCCCTGGCGGGGTCAGGGTGGGTCCCGTGAAGGCCTGTTGCCCCATCAGCCCATCCAGTCTCACCCCCACCCCGCTCTCCTCTGGACTCCCAGGAGCTGGCGCCAGGGAGACAGGCCCCACCCACCCCCATTTGCACTGAGAAAAAAAAGATGGAGTTTTATCTCCTTGAATAAAGATATAGAGTCGAGTAGAAAGCAAGGAGGAAAGAGCTAGAGAGAGAGAGGCCTATATTCTATATTATATGTATGTCCAGGGAGGAGAGGGCGGGAGAGCCAGATGGAGCCAGGCCGGGGCAGGTGGGGGACCACCCCTTCCCAGCGGGGCTGCGTTGGGGTCCCTGAGGCACCGCCCGCCCCCTGCCCCTGTGGTTCCGATGCCCACACCCACACTCGGCCACCAGCTCAGGTCCACCTGGGGGCCGAGGGGGGCCGTGCCTTCGCCCCGCCCCACGCCCCAGGCCCTGCACTTCCCCGGCCGGGAGCTCCAAGGCCTCCGCGGCCCGCGGCTCGGGGCGGGGGTCCCGTCTCTCCGGTGACATTCCCACGCCTCCCGCAGACCCTGGGCGGGGCTTTGGGGGGTGTCCAGCTGGGGTCCCCCTCCAGTGCCTGAGGGTCTGGGGTCCAGCCCAGTTGCCAAGTGCCCTTGACCCAGCGCCCTCTCAGGCCGCGTGAGTGTGTGTGGGTGCCCAGCTGTTTCATACTCAACTATAAATGAATGAATAAAGGAGACAGTTTAAGTCGTTGCTGCTCAGACTTGGAGTTCTGGGGGGGCGGGAGGGGAGCGCCCTGAGCATCCCCCGGACTCGCCCGGCCTGGTCTGCAGAGCTGTGATCAGGCCCCCTCAATCACCCGTGTCCACTGGTGAGCGCCCTCAGTCCAGCCTCTGTGGGAGGTGGGGGTGGGAGGTGACCCAGGAAACTCGGCTGGCCTCTCAGTGGTGCCTGGGGGGAGGGAGATAGGGGGGAGGTCAGTGCAAGAACAGGCCAGGCCGGGCCGGTTTGGCTTATTCGACAGAGCCTCTGCCTGCGGGTGGAAGGACCCGGGTTTGATTCCCGTCAAGGGCACGGACCTCGGTTGCAGGCTCCTCCCTGGTCCAGGCCTGGTCTGGGCTCCTGCAGGAGGAAATTGATGGATGAGTTTTTCTCACATGGATGCTTCTCTCTGTCTCTCCCTCTCTCCCCCACCATCCCTAAAATCAATGGGATAAGAAAAAAAACAGCCATTTCAGCCCTGGGGTGTGGCTCCCTAGGAGTGTCATTCCTACCGCAATGGAGTGGGCAACAGGAGGCAGCCTGTCAGGGTATTCTCCCTCTTTCTCTCTCCCTCTCTTTCTAAAACCAATAAAGTTCTTAAAAGAAATCAACCATTAATTTTTTTGTTAATTCTCACCCGAGGACATTTTCCCATTGATTTTTAGAGAGTGGGAGGGGGAGACTGAGAGGAACATCGATGATGTGAGAGACACATGGGAGCCGTGCTTCTGGGCCCCCAGGGCTGCGGCCCCGGGCTGGGGGTGAGCTCCAGGGCGGGTCTGGTTGTTGTTGGCATTTGTTAGGTCAGCAAGTATTCGTGTGGGGGCGCTGGGGGAGGGAGAAGTGGTTCCTCCATCAGCCACTAGGTGAAGGTGCCCCCATCCCCAGGTGAAGGAGGGCCGGGCCTGGCAGCAGTCCAGGCTGGGGGAAGGGGGGCTGAGGGTGAGGAGGGGCCCCTGCCAGGCATAGCCGCCCCTGGGCGGAGCAGCATTGCCCAGCGCTGAATCAGGCCCGGAGTTCATCCACAGGGCGGATGCTGGCTGCCCGGTTGCCCGGTTAACCGGTTAACGAGTAACCACTTGCTGTTGCTCCACCCCCAAAGCCATTGGTGCCGTGTACTGGCCACTCTGCGGGGCAGTGTCACAGGCGAACATGGGCGTCCGGAACGAGGTGCTGTCCCCTCACAGCCCTAGGGAGAGGCCCTGAGTGTCAGAGGGGCTGGGCTGGGCTCCCGGAGACCTCAGTAGACTAAGGAATTGGGGGTCATGGCCTCCCGAGAGGCTGGGTTCTATGGGGCTGGATGTCCAGTGGGCCTTAAGTGGGGGTGGGGGTGGGGTTGGGTGGGAACCCCAAGACTCGGCCAGATGGGGCCTGTCCTGAGGGACCCCAGTGGGGGTTGGGGGGGAGCCCCGAGACCCCAGTCCTGGCCAGGGCTGGGGGTGGCCGCAGCCTCCTCCCCGGCTGAGCCGCGCCTTGTCCGGAAGCAGCCGCACCTGGGCAGCCTGAGCCCCTTCCTCCTCACCTGCACCGCTTACTTCCTCCTCTGGATCCCCGAGGACCCGCCGTCCTGGGTGGGCGCCCTGGTCAAGTGCCTGCCGGTGCTGAGCCTGGTGGGGCTCCTGTGGGCAAACCCCGGCCCCGGCCCCGGCTCCAGGAGCTACAGCCTTCGTCTGCAGGCGGCCCTGCTCTTCTCGGCCCTCGGGGACGCCTTCCTCATCTGGCCCGACCTCTTCCTCCATGGTGAGTGGGGGAGCGGCCGCCCTGTCCCTCTCCGACCCCCCAGGGCCCCGGTGCAGGGCCGGCTCCCTGGTGGCCTCTGCCGGGAGCCGGGGCGAGCCCAGGCCTGGGGCCCCGCGGTGACCAGCACTCCCCTCGCCTGAGCAGGGGTGAGGGGTGGGCATGGGGAGGGGTGGGGTCCCCGTGTCACAGGCTTGAGTGGGACATCCTCACAGAGAAAGGGGGTGCGGGAAGGGGGAGGGTCTAGGTCCGTGGCTGTCAAACTCATTAGTCAACAGAGCCACATATCAACAGTACAACGATGGAAATTTCTTTGGAGAGCCACATTTTTAAAACTTAAACTATATAGGCAGGTACGTTGTTATTAACTTAATGAGGGGACTCCTCAGCTGGCCTTTGCTAAAAACTCAAGGGGCCAAAGAGCCGCATGTGGCTCTTGAGTCGCAGTTTGCTGACCACGGGTCTAGGCAGAGGGACAGCAGGTGCAAAGGCCCTGCGGTGGGTGTGCCCGGGGTGCGGGTCCAGACAGGCCACACTGAAGCCCAGTGGGGAGCGGAGGATGGACGGACTCAGGGACATGGGAGCTGGCAGGGGCGACGCACAGAAGCGGGTCTCATGGGTGCCCTACCCCTGACCTCCAGGTGTCCTCGCCTGTGCCATGGCCCACCTGTTCTACGTCCGGGCCTTCGGGCTCAGCCCCCTGCGGCCCGGCCTCCTGCTGCCCGTGGTCCTGGCCTCGCTCCCGTTCTCCGGCCTCCTGCTGCTGCACCTCTCCTCCAGCCTGGTCTTGCCCGTGGCGGCCTACGTGCTGGCCCTGTCCACCATGCTGTGGCGCGGCCTGTGCCCCGGCCTCCTGCTGCCCGTCTTCCTGGGCTCCCTCCCGTTCTCCAGCCTCCTGCTGTGGCACCTCCCGCCCGACCTGGTCCTGCCCCTGTCAGCCTACGCCCTGGCCCTGTCCGCCATGCTGTGGCGCGGCCTGGCCAGGGGCGGCAGCGCCCGCTGGGGCGCCCTGCTCTTCGCCGCCTCCGACTGCCTGCTGTCCTGGCACACCTTCGTCCGGCCACTGGCCCACGGCCGCCTGCTGATCATGGCCACCTACTACGCCGCCCAGCTGCTCATCGCCCTGTCCGCCCTCCAGAGCCCCAAGCTCAAGACAGACTGACCGGGGGCCCCGACGGGCCGGCGTCCGCCCTCTCCCCTCCTACAGGGCCCTGGCCTTCCCGCCGGGCCCAGCCCGGGAGCTGCCCGTGGGGGCCGAGCCGGGCTCCCGTCTGCAGGCCTCCGTCTATCCGCCTGTGGGAACCGGTGCAGGATTCCGGAGGCACCGCCCGGTTCCGAGCACTTTCCTGGGTTCTGGTTCCGGGTTCCAGGCCGCTCAGCCAGGCCCGGGCGGGGCCTCCCCAGCCCTGCCCGTTCTGTGAGCTCCGGCCTCCGGAGTCTGTGGGAAGCAGGGAGACTCTGTTGGACAGTCTGCGAGGAGGAAATTCCCGCTGAGGGGAGTTTGGCCAAAGGCGCTGGCCGGGGTTGTTCCGGGACCTTTCCAACAGTCTGTGCACCTGCAGACCCCAGGTGTGCACCGGAACCCTAACGCCGGCCTCTGGCTGTCCTTGCTGAGGGCACTGCAGACACACCTGCCCCAAGGTTCCTTCCCGTCTGATTGTGTCCGAAGGTCAGCTATCTCCCGCTGCTGCTGCAATAAAACCTAAGGAGGCTGTCTGGTCCTCAGCCTCTCTTTCTCAGCGAACGTGTCCGAGGTCATTCATCCTCGCCAGGCGGATGGTCAGCCCCGCCCGCATCCGAGGGCCCCTCCCGCTGACCTTGACCTCTTTCCCTGTGGCCTGAACAAAGGGGACCAGGAAACAGCACCTCCTTTATTTGGGGAGGGGAGGGGAGGGGCATCACAACAGCAAAGGGTATTTAAAAAAAAATACATTTTATTGATTTTTTTACAGAGGGGAAGGGAGAGGGATAGAGAGCTAGAAACATCAATGAGAGAAACATCAATCAGCTGCCTCCTGCACACCCCCACTGGGGATGTGCCCGCAACCAATGTACATGCCCTTCACCGGAATCGAACCTGGGACCTTTCAGTCTGCAGGCCGACGCTCTATCCACTGAGCTAAACCAGTTTTGGCAAAGGGTATTTTTTTAAAATATATTTTATTGATTTTTTTACAGAGAGGAAGGGAGAGAGATAGAGAGCCAGACACGTCGATGAGAGAGAAACATCAACCAGCTGCCTCTTGCACACCCCCTACTGGGGATGTGCCCGCAACCAATGTACATGCCCTTGCCCGGAATCGAACCCTGGACCCTTCAGTCTGCAGGTCGACGCTCTATCTACTGAGCCAAACCAGTTTCGGTCAAAGGGTATTTCTTTTTGGGGGGGCAATTGCGACTGTATTTCCTCCTTTTTGAAAATATATATTTTTTATTAAGAGAGGGAGAGAGAGAAACATCAACGATGAGAGAGAATCATGGATCGGCTGCCTCCTGCATGTCCCCTACTGGGGGTCAAGCCCACAACCCAGGCCTGTGCCCTGAATGGCATCGAACCTAGAACCCTTCAGTCCGAAGGCCGATACTCTATCCACTGAGCTACACCGGCCAGGTGTGTGGCCCCCTTGCTGAGAGTCTGGTCCTGCCACTCAGCCCCCAGCTGGGCAGGCCACTCATGACCCGGTGTCCAGGGCACCCGGGGCTGTGGGGCCCCGAGGGAAGTGCCGCTGAGCTGACTGGAAGCGCAGATAGCGAGGCCATGTGCGGGCAGGGAGGAGCAGCAGGAGCAGCCTGTCCCGCCTCAGCCTCTCAGCCTCCTCACCCCCCCGCTTCTCCCCAGCGCGCCTTTCGACAAGACGGCCAACATCACCTTCTCCCTCGACGCCGACAACGAGAACGTGAGTGACGCCCCATGCCCTGGGGGCGGGGGCTGTGGGCAGTGCCGCCCACCCACCTGCCCCTGCCCCCCGCCCCGCAGCCCAACACCAACCTGCTGGAGATCTGCTACAAGGACCGCATCCAGCAGGAGGAGGAGGAGGAGGAGGAAGAGAGGAGGAGGAGGAGGGGAGGAGGAGGAGGAGGAGGGGAGGAGGAGGAGGAGGAAGAGGAGGAGGAGGAGGAGGGGGAGGAGGAGGAGGGCCAGGGCTCTGGGGAGTCTGATGGGAGGACGGCGCCTGGCAGAGCAGCCCGCTGGCCAGGGGGGCCCGCCCTCCAGTGTGCGGTGAGTCTGCCCGCTTCCTGCTCCGGACTCACCGCACACCTGGTGGCATCGCGGGGGCTGCGGGGCCCACGGGGCAGTTCCCGTCGGCTCGGGGAAGGGGAAGCCTGGGGACGGGGCATGTGTGGGGCCGCTGGGCCCTGAGGGTGGGAGCCCCGCTCTGTGGGGTGAGCTCCAGCAGGAGCCGGGCCCGGCTCTTTGTGGCTGCAGCTCAAGGGGCTCCTTCGTGTGCGGCTGATGCAGGTGCGTCTGCAGCCAGCACCTCCCTCCCCCTGGACTGTGCTCTCGGGGTGCAGCGCTCAGCCCCAAAAGGCAGCTGTTCCACCGGCTGCCTCCCCCCGTTTCAGTAACACTGGCCAGTGTGGCTCAGTGGATAGGGTATCAGCCTGCAGACTGAAGAGTCCCCAGTTCAATTCCGGCCAAGGGCACATGCCCAGGTTGCTGGCTCGGTCCCCAAAGGAGGGCGTGCAGGAGGCAGCCGATCCCTGAATCTCTCTCGTCATTGATGTTTCTCTCTCTGTCTCTCTCCCCCTCTGCCTTCCTCTCTCTGAAATAAATAAAAATATATATTTTTAAAAATGACAGGTGATGCTGGTCCCTTCCTCAGGCCGCGTGTCAGCTCCTTGGGGGACATTGCTCTCCCCCCCCCCCCTGTATGGGCTGGCCCAGCGTCCCGCCCCAGGCACCTGCCCCGGGGGCTTTCCGGAGGGAACAGCTCTGCCCCGGGGAGGGCTTTCCCACGTTAATGAGGTGGAATGAGCAGGCGTGCCTGCCCAGGGTCCCCTTAGTCACTCAGCATCACGCCTGTGTCCGCTGCTCAGCCCTTCGCCTGGCATGGAGGGACCCTGCGCAGCCAGGGCCTGCCCCTGCCCCTGCCCCTGCCCCTGCCCCCGCGGTGGCGCAGTGGGTGCTGGGAGGGGCCAGGGTGGCCGGGCTCTGGGTGTGCCTTCCAGGCCGCACCAAGAACCCTCCCCCAGGCCCGGAAGCCTTGGTCCTGGGCCCCCCCCCCCCCCCCGGGCTGCCCAGGGCTGTGGCCCCAGGCTGCTGGTGACCTCAGAGGCCGCCTCATGGGCATTTGTTAGATCAGGAAGTGTTTGGGGGGGGCAGGTGCAGGCCCCACAGGAGGGGGGCCAGTGCAGGGGGCCCTGGGGGCAGGGGGACCCGGGGGGCAGGGGCAGGGAGAAGGGGTTCCTCCACCGGCCACAGGGTGATGGTGGCCCCGTCCCCTGGGGAAGGAGGGCTGGGCCTGGCTGGGCCCGGGGCTGCGAGGGGAATTGGCCCCTCGGCCCACAGCGATGGGGGGCAGACCTGGCCCCCGGGGTCCGGGGCAGGGGCCTTTGGGGAGGGGGGACCCCCGCTTCGGGATGGGCGCCTTATCTGCGGGTGCCAGTCTGAGCCATCCCCGCGCTGTTATCAGCCCCAGAGTCCACAGGACGCTCCCCGGGTTAACGTGTAACCGCGCGCCCGCCCTCCACCCCCAACGCCGCCGCTGCCCGGGCTCCGGCCACTCTGTGGGGGGGTCTCAGGCCGGCATGGACGTCCAGAAGGCGGGGCGGCCCCACGGCCCCCACTCCTCAGCCCACGTGAGAGCCCCCGGGTGCGGGAGGGGGGCTGGGCCGAGCCTGGGTCCCCGGGGACCCCCATAGGCTGGAGGAATGGGGGGTCGTGGCCGCCCCAGAGGCTGGGTCCCAGGGGGCTGGATGTGATGTCCAGGGGGCCCTGAGTGGGGGTGGGGTTGGGTGGGAACCCCGAGACCCGGCCAGGTGGGGCCTGTCCTGGGGGACCCGAGAGGGGGTGGGGGTGGGGGGGAGCCCGGAGACCCCAGTCCTGGCCAGGGCTGGTGCTGAGCCGCGCCTTGTCCGGAAGCAGCCGCACCTGGGCAGCCTGAGCCCCTTCCTCCTCACCTGCACCGCCTACTTCCTCCTCTGGATCCCCGAGGACCCGCCGTCCTGGGTGGGCGCCCTGGTCAAGTGCCTGCCGGTGCTGAGCCTGGTGGGGCTCCTGCGGGCAAACCCCGGCCCCGGCCCCGGCTCCAGGAGCTACAGCCTTCGTCTGCAGGCGGCCCTGCTCTTCTCGGCCCTCGGGGACGCCTTCCTCATCTGGCCCGACCTCTTCCTCCATGGTGAGCGGGGGAGCGGCCGCCCTGTCCCTCTCCGACCCCCCAGGGCCCCGGTGCAGGGCCGGCTCCCTGGTGGCCTCTGCCGGGAGCCTGGGGCCCCCACAGTGACCAGCACCCTCTGCCCCCGCCTTGGGGCACTCAGCCTGGCCTGAGCAGGGGTGAGGGGTGGGCGTGGGGAGGGGTGGGATCCCTGTGTAACAGGCTTGAATGGGACATCCTCATAGAGAAAGGGGGTGCGGGAAGGGGGAGGGTCTAGGGCCCTGGCCGGCAAACCTCGGCTCGAGAGCCACATGCGGCTCTTTGGCCCCTTGAGTGTGGCTCAGTGGATAGCTCATCGACCTGCAGACTCAAGGGTCCAGGGTTCCATTCCAGTCAAGGGCACATGTCCAGGTTGTGGGCTCCATCCCCAGTGGGGAGCTTGCAGGAGGCAGCCGTTCAATGATTCTCTTCCATCATTGATGTTTCTATCTCTCTCTCTCCCTCTTCCTTCCTCTCTGAAATCAATAAAAATACATTAATGCCCTAACCGGTTTGGCTCAGTGGATAGAGCGTCGGCCTGCAGACTGAAAAGTCCCGGGTTCAATTCCGGTCAAGGGCATGTACCTTGGTTGTGGGCACATCCCCAGTAGGAGGTGTGCGGGAGGCAGCTGATCGATATTTCTCTCTTATCAATGTTTCTAACTCTCTTCCTCTCTGTAAAAAATCAATAAAATATATATTTAAAAAAAAAAAAATATATATATATATATACACCAAGGCCTGGGAAAGTCTATTTTGAAGAAGTGGCGTTAGAAGAAGTTTAAGTTTAAAAAATTAGGCTCTCAAAAGAAATTTCTTTTAAAAAAATATATTTTATTGATATTTTTTTTACAGAGAGGAAGGGAGAGGGATAGAGAGCCAGAAACATCAATGAGAAAGAAACATCCATTAGCACGCCCCCCACTGGGGATGTGCCCGCAACCAAGATGCATGCCCTTGACCGCAATCGAACCTGGGACCCTTCAGTCTGCAGGCCAATACTCTATCCACTGAGCCACACCCGTTAGGACAAAAGAAATTTCAGTCCTTGGGCTGCTGATATTTGGCTCTGTTGACTAATGAGTTTGCCGACAACAGGTCTAGGCAGAGGGACAGCAGGTGCAAAGGCCCTGGGGTGGGTGTGCCCGGGGTGCGGGTCCAGACAGACCTGGTACTGAGGCCCAGCGGGGGGCGGAGAAGATGGGGATCCAGGGACAGCTCTGAGCAGAGGAAAGACGGACCCCAGACAGCAAGGGCAGGGGAAGTGGGACCACCAGGGGACCCTGGGAGCTGGCAGGGGCGACCCGGGGCAGTGGGTCTCACGGGTGCCCCCCCTCCGCCCCCAGGCGCCATGGCCTTCGGCGTGGCCCAGCTGCTGTACACCAGCACCTTCGGCTTCAGCCCGCTGCGGCCCGGCCTCCTGGTACCCGTCGCCCTGGCCTCGCTCCCGTACTCCGGCCTCCTGCTGCGGCACCTCCCGCCCGACCTGGTCCTGCCCCTGTCGGCCTACGCCCTGGCCCTGTCCGCCATGCTGTGGCGCGGCCTGGCCAGGGGCGGCAGCGCCCGCTGGGGCGCCCTGCTCTTCGCCGCCTCCGACTGCCTGCTGTCCTGGCACACCTTCGTCCGGCCGCTGGCCCACGGCCGCCTGCTGATCATGGCCACCTACTACGCCGCCCAGCTGCTCATCGCCCTGTCCGCCCTCCAGAGCCCCAAGCTCAAGACCCACTGACCAGGGGCCCCGACGGGCCGGCGTCTGCCCACGCCCCTCCTGCAGGGACCCGGGCCTGCCAGCCGGGCCCAGGCCGGGAGCCGCCCGTGGGGGCCGAGCCAGACTCCCGGGCTCCCGTCTGCAGGCCTCCGTCCATCCGCCTGTGGGAACCGGTGCAGGATTCCGGAGGCACCACCGGGTTCCGAGCATCTTCCCTGGGTTCTGGTTCCGGGTTCCAGGCCCCCTCAGCCAGGCCCAGGTGGGGGGAGGGGGGGGAGGGGGCATCCCCAGTCCGTCGGCCCCTCCTTCTGGCCTTGACCTCTGTCCCTGTGGCCTGAGTAAAAGGAACCAGGAAAAAGCATCTCCTTTATTTGGGAAGGGATGGGGGAGGGGGTGTGGTCACAGTCACAGCAAAAGGGTATTTGTTCTTCCTCACCACAAAATTTCCATTTCAAAACATCTGAGTTGTGCCTCCGTAGATTGAGTCCGCCGGGTTCAATTCCAGTCAGGGGCATGTACCCCAGTACCGGGTGTGCAGGAGGCAGCTGATCAATGTTTCTGACTTTCTGTCTCTCTCCACTCCTCTCTGTAAAAATCAATAAAATATATATTAAAGAAACAAACAAACATCCATGTGGTTACTGAAATTAGAGACAGAGGAAGGAAGAGGGAAACATCCATGATGCGAGAGAACCGTGGATGGGCTGCCTCCAGCACGCTCCCCACTGGGGATGGAGCCGGGCGTGGGGCATGTGCCCTTGACTGGGAAGCAAATAGGTAACTTCTTGGTTCCGGTGTCAAGGCTTAACCAATGCGCCACACTGGCCAGGCAAAATTTTTCCTTTTTATTTTTATTTTTTTTTATTTTGAAGGACTATTCAATATTAACATTGTGAGTTGTTATCTTTTGCATATCAAAGTTACAGTATACAAATGCAAAGCACTAATTTCCCACTAAATCATCACTTCCTTAAAATGGTACATGTGATGTTATGAAATTAGCTACTAAGTATTCGAAATAGTGGAACAAAGGTCCTTTCTTCAGTCTTTTTTCTTTTAATATATTTTTTTGTGTTTTTTTTTTGCCCCCCTCCCTCCCCAGAGTTTTATGTCCATTGGTTGTACTTATGTGCATGTATAAAAGTCCTTCGGTTGATCTATTATCTCCCCCAGATCTTACTCCCCTCCCCGCTAAAATTCTTCCTTTTTAAAAAAAGGTATTTTATTGTTTTTTACAAAGAGGAAGGGAGAGAGAGAGAGAGTTAGAAACATCGATGAGAGAGAAACATCAATCAGCTCCCTCCTACACATCCCCCACTGGGGATGTGCCCGCAACCAAGGCACATGCCCTTGACCGGAATCGAACCTGGGACCCTCAGTCTGCAGGCCGAAGCTCTTCCCATTGAGCCAAACCGGTCAGGGCTCATCATGGATGTTTCTATCTCTCTCTCCCTCTCCCTTCCTCTCTGAAAGCAATAAACAAACAAATAAATAAAAGTTAAAGAGCCGAAACCGGTTTGGCTCAGTGGTAGAGCGTCGGTCTGCGGACAGAGGGGTCCTAGGTTCGATTCCGGTCAAGGGCATGTACATTGGTTGCGGGAACATCCCCGGTAGGGGGTGTGCAGGAGGCAGCTGGTCGATATTTCTCTCTCATTGACGTTTCTAGCTCTCTATCTCTCTCTCTTCCTCTCTGTAAAAAATCAATAAAATTAAAAAAAAGTTAAAGAAAAAAGTGTAAATAAATGCAGCTCTGGCTTTATCAAGGACCCCAGGGGGTGATGGAAGTTTTGGGGAACTGAGCTGGGGGCCCAGATGTCACCAGCCCCCCCCCCCCCCCCCCCCCGCCGCTTCCGCAGGCCGCTATTTCTCCCTCAGTCGGTGAGAGAAGGGAGCCAGGACCCCACCCCCACCCCAACCCCCACCCCCACCCCCACCCTGGACTGAAGGGTCCTGGGTTCGATTCCCATCAAGGGCATGGATCTTGGTTGGGGGCACATCCCAGTGGGGGGTGTGCAGGAGGCAGCTGGTCAATGCATCCTCCTGCAACGTGGAGGGGGGGCGGCCCCTTCATTCCCTGGGTCCTCCGAGCCGGCTGGGGGGTGGGGCGAAGAGAGGGGAAGGCGGGAGGCGGGGCTGGTTTCCAGCTCCGAGTTGCAGGGAGACCTGGTCCCACCCTGGCCGGCTTGGCTCCGTGAATGGAGTGACTGACTGACTGCGGACTGAAGGGTTGAGGGTTCATATCCAATGAAGGGCACAGGCCCGGGTTGGGGGCTGCATCCCCAGTGGGGCGTGTGCAGGAGGCAGCCGGTCCATGATTCTCTCTCATCCGGATGTTTCTATCTCTCCCTCTCTGAAATCAATTTTAAAAAATCAACAAAACCCTCCTACCAAGGCGTGTCTGCGGTTCCTCCGTCTTTGGACACGTGAGAATTGGAGGCAAAGAAATGTGGCTGCCCTGACCGGTGTGGCTCAGTGGATGGAGCGCCCGCCTGCGGACTGAAGGGTCCCGGGTTTGATTCCCATCAAGGGCATGGATCTTGGTTGGGGGCACATCCCCAGTAGGGGGTGTGCAGGAGGCAGCTGGTCGATGTTTCTAACTCTCTCTCCCTCTCCCTTCCTGTAAAAAATCAATAAAATATTTAAAAAGGAGAAGTCTGGAGCCAGGCGCCCCCGGTAGAAGGAAAAAAAGAAAGAAAAAGACCTGGTCCAGGTGAGGCCCGGCGGACGCAGTGCGCCTGCGCGGAACCCAGCCTGGATCGGGGTCTCCCTGAACGGAACCCGCAGACCCCGGTCCCCATCAGCCCGAGGGTCCGAGGGTCCGGAGCCGCCGGGGCCCAGGGGCTGCAGGAGGACCGCCCCGCCCGGGCCCCGCTGCTCCGCGAAATGCTCAGAGGTTTGCAGGGTGAGCTCCGCCCGAGGGGGTGCTCCTGCAAGAGGGGATGCTCCCCCTGGAGGTGGTGCTCCTGCAAGAGGGGGTGCTCCTGCAAGAGGGGGTGCTCCCCCCGGAGGGGTGCTTCCCCTGTAGGGGATGCTCCGCCTGGAAGTGGTGCTCTTGCAAGAGGGGATGCTCTTGCAAGAGGGGGTGCTCCTGCAAGAGGGGGTGCTCCCTCAAGAGGGGGTGCTCCCTCAAGAGGGGGTGCTCCGCCCGAGGGGGTGCTCCCTCAAGAGGGGATGCTCTTGCAAGAAGGGGTGCTCCCTCCGTAAGGGGTGCTCGGTCCCCGGGGCGCGGCCCGCTGGGGCACGGCCGGTGCTGGAAGGACGTGCCGGACGCCCGAAGCCACACATGCAGAGACCGGGGCGCCCGCACCCCAATGCACAGCCCGGCCCCTCCCCGCGCCCCTGCCCGCCCGGCCGCTCCTCCGGGCAAAGGAGGGTCCAGAGGCCGCGACCCGGGCGGGCGGGCGGGGCGGGCGCCACTTACTCCGCCCCCGCCGGGCCCTGTGGCCGCCGCCGGGCGGGCGGGGAAGCCCGCGGTCAGGCCGGCAGGTGCACCGGCCGCACTGGTCCCCGCCGAGCGCGCAGGTCCCCGCGGGCATGGCTGGGGCCTGGGGGGGCCGCGGGGCCTGGGGGCGCCTGGTGCTGCTGGTGAGTGGGGCCCGGGATGGTGGGACCCCAGGGCGGGTCTGAGGGTGGGGACTGGGGCCCCTGAAGCGGGTCCTGAGGAAAAGGGGGCAGGGTTCCCCGGGAAGAAAGCAGGTATCAGGTTCCGGGGTTGTTGGGGGTCTCACACCTGCGTCTTAGGTGTGTCCTGTCCCGGGTGAGAGTGAATTCTGGTTAAAAGGCCCTGCAGTCCCATCCGGAGACCCTCCTCCCTCAGGCCCAGGCCCCCAGCCTCCTCCCTCAGACCCAGGAGCCCAGGCCCCAGCCCTCCTCCCTCAGACCCAGGAGCCCAGGCCCCCAGCCCTCCTCCCTCAGACCCAGAGCCCAGGCCCCCAGCCCTCCTCCCTCAGACCCAGGAGCCCAGGCCCCCAGCCTCCTCCCTCAGACCCAAAAGCCCAGGCCCCAGGCCCTCCTCCCTCAGACCCAGGAGCCCAGGCCCCCAGCCTCCTCCCTCAGACCCAGGAGCCCAGGCCCCCAGCCCTCCTCCCTCAGACCCAGGAGCCCAGACCCCCAGCCTCCTCCCTCAGACCCAAAAGCCCAGGCCCCAGGCCCTCCTCCCTCAGACCCAAAAGCCCAGGCCCCAGGCCCTCCTCCCTCAGACCCAGGAGCCCAGGCCCACAGCCCCTCCCTCAGACCCTGGGGTCCAGGCCTCCAGCCTCAGACAACATCAGACCAGGTGTCTGGCTTCTGGTCTCCATCCTGTCTCTCCCCAATTCCCAGTTTGCTGGTGACTTTTCTTCTTTCTTTTTATTATTATTATCATTAATTATTATTATTAGCAGTGATAGTTGCTTGCTTTCCTGCTTCTGGTCGGCCTTGCTTTTGGGGAAGTGAAACCATCGCCTTATCGCTGGCCTGGCCTTCTCCCAGCGGGCGGCGGGCAGGTGTCCAGCTCGCTCCGTCCCTGTGCCCCGCCCCGCCCTCCCCACACCCCGCAGAGGCAGCTGGCCTTGGGGTGACCTTTGTCCAGGCGGGGCCTGGTGGAGGCGGCCCTTGCTCCCCGTGTCCCCCCCCCCCCCCCGGCTGTACCTCTGTGGGGACTGGGCCAGGAGCCCCCAGTCTCACCCGGGCCTGGATGGGCGGGCTCTGACTCTGCCCCGCCCCCTTCCCCGTCTCCCAGGGCCTGTGCGTCTGGACCGGAGCCAGGACAGCAGGTGAAGGATCCTTTGAGTCCCTGCCCACCCAGCCAGGTAGCACCTCCCGTCTCCTGCGGGAGTCTGCGGGAGGGAAGGGGGTCTCCGTGGAGGGGGCAGGGATCCCTGGCAGGTGCCAGAGGGGGTTAGGCCAGGCCCCCAGCCTCCTCCCTCAGACCCTGGACTCCTGTTCCCAGCACCGGGCCCCGTGAGGAACCTGGCCGTGTGTAATCAGACCAGCAGCTCCATCACTCTGCGCTGGGAGCCGCCCCTCGGCTCTGACCAGACCTACACCTACTGGGTCCGGTGGGCCGGAGAGGATGGCGAGAACAAGACCAGGAACACGACAGACGTCACGTACATGGCGCGGGGACTCGAACCCGGGTCCCGCTATGCGTTTTCCGTGTGGGTGGAGGCAGGTGGAGCCCACAGCAGCGAGGAGACTCTCAGTGCCAGCACAGGTGAGAGCAGCCCCCGCTTCATCTGTTGTGGTGATCGTTGGTGTGTGTGTGTGTGTGTGTGTGTGTGTGTGTGTGTGTGTGTTTAATAAAACTTTTTTTTAGCCCTAACCAATGTGGCTCAGTGGGTAGAGCGTCGGCCTGCGGACTGAAGGGTCCCAGGTTCCATTCTGGTCAAGGGCATGTGCCTTGGTTGCGGGCATATCCCCAGTGCAGGAGGCAGCTGATGGATGTTTCTCTCTCATCGATGTTTCTAACTTTTTATCCCTCCCCCTTTCTCTCTGTAAATAATAAATAAGATATATTTTTTTAAAAAACAAAAATTTTTAAAAATTTGTTTAGATATTCATTTTAAAATCCTTCCCCGAGGATATTTTTCCATGGATTTATATTTTTATTTTTCAAAACTATATTTCTTTATGGATGTCACAGAGGAAGGGAGAGGGAGAGAGAGAGAGAAACCTCAATGATGAGAGAGAATCATGGATCTGCTGCCTCCTGCACGCCCCACCCTGGTGATGGAAGCCACAACCCCGGCCTGTGCCCTTGACCGGGAATCAAACCTTGACCTCCTGGTTCCTAGGTGGATGTTCAACCACTGAGACACACTGGCCGGGCACGGCTGCCAGTTGGACGTGAGGGTCTAGCCTCCGCGGGGAAGGAAGGCCTGCTCATGGGGGCCCCAGAGCCCACAGCTGACCCCCTCCTGTCCCCTCCTCAGCCCCCAACCCCGTCAGGAACCTGACCGTGGAGAGTCAGACCACCAGCTCCATCAGCCTGCGCTGGGAGCCGCCCCTCGGCCCCGACCGGAGCTACACCTACTGGGTGGAGTGGACGGGTGGCGGCGGTGACCGTGGGACCTGGAGCACAGCAGACACCAGTGTCACCGTGGACGGACTGGAACCCGGGTCCGCCTACGAGCTCGCCGTGTGGGTGGAGAACAGCAATGTCAGCAGCTCCTGGACCAATCTCAGCGCGGCCACAGGTGACGGGCCATTTGTTTTGTCCTCATGGTCCTGGTGTGTTTTGTTTTTTGCTTTCATTTTCTTTTTAAAAATATATATTTTTATTGATCTCGGACGGGAAGGGAGAGGAAGAGAGCGAGACATCAGTGATGAGAGAGAGTCATGGGTCGGCTGCCTCCTGCACACTGGGGTTTGAGTCTGCAACCCCAGGAATCGAACCGTGTCCTCCTGGTTCTTAGGTCAGTGCTCAACCACGGAGCCACACGGCTGCCATTTTGGACGTGAGGGTCTAGCCCCCGCCCCAGGCTTCCTGGGCCCAGCGGGGAAGGAAGGCCTGCTCATGGGGGCCCCAGAGCCCACAGCTGACCCCCCTGCTGTCCCCTCCTCAGTCCCCAACCCCGTCAGGAACCTGACCGTGGAGAATCGGACCGCCAGCTCCATCAGCCTGAGCTGGGAGGCCCCGGACACTCGGAGCTACAACTACTCGGTCCGATGGACGGCGGACGATGGTGAGAACAAGACCCAGAGCACGACAGACGTCACGCACACGGTGCAGGGCCTCGAACCCGCGTCCTCATACCGGTTGTCCGTGTGGGCGGAGAGGCACGGAGTGCCCAGCGCCAAGCAGACCCAGGAGGCCTCCACAGGTGCCGCACCCTGTCCGATGGCGGGCTCCCCCCAGGGGGTGGGAAGAGGCTGCTGGGAGCCCGTGGGAGCAGGGCCCGCCCAGGGCAGACCCAGGTCATGGGGCCTCCAGCCTCGGAGTCAGGGCTGGGAGCTTTTATTTATTTATTTATTTTAATACATTTTATTGGTTTTTTACAGAGAGGAAGAGAGAGGGATAGAGAGTTAGAAACATCGATGAGAGAGAAGCATCAATCAGCTGCCTCTTGCACACCCCCCACTGGGATGTGCCCGCAACCAAGGCACATGCCCTTGACCGGAATCGAACCTGGGGCCTTTCAGTTTGCAGGCCGATGCTCTATCCACTGAGCCAAACTGGTCTTGGCAACACACAGCCTTTCTTCAGATTGCTGAACCCTTCTAGAGGCTGAAACAAGAACCCTGGCATGGTCCCCACCTCTTTCCTGTGGTTCACCCTCCTTGGGAAATAGGCCAATCCGATGGCTGGGGCACCTCAGCTCTGCAGGGAAGAGGGCGTGAGGGGCCTTGGGGATCCATCCCTTGACTTGTCTGTCCCCATTCCCAGCTCCCAATGAGGTCACAGCTCTGCAGAAGAAAACTCAGACCAACAACTCCATCACCCTGCAGTGGGAGGCCCCTGCAGACCCCCGTGCTCAGTTCTACATGTACTTTGTCCAGTGGGTGAGGGGGGTAGATCCCCAGAAGGAGACAGACCCCCAAGGACACAAGGTCAACCAGATAGCCAACACCAGTGAGACTTGGTATGTGGTGAAGGCCCTGGAACCCGGGACTACATACAACTTCAGCGTGTGGGCGGAGAGGAGTGGTGTAGCCGGTTCCACACAGAGCCTCAGAGCATCCACAGGTGAGATGGGCCCCCTTTTACCTGTTTGGGACTTGGGGGCAGGAGGCGGGGGAGCTTGTGGGTGATAAGAAGTGAGTGGACTACAAATCCCAGCAGGCCATGGGGCCCTGACTATATAAGGTGCAGTGATCCAGAGAGTCCAAAGGCTCATGGGAGTTGTAGTTTGTGGGGACCGGTTGTGAGTCCATTTGGGAATTTAGAAAGCCAGGGATGAAGAAGTATTTTGGTTTGGGGAAGGGAAGGCTGGGTTCATGGTCGCTGCCATGGTGACGCCTGGGAGGGATGGAGCACCACCCTGGCTGGCACCTACCGGCTCCCCTTGTCCCCTCCTCCCAGCCCCGGACCCGGTCACCATCACCTGCACCAGCACCTCTGGTGGCTACGGGCTCGTCCTGACCTGGACCTGCCCCCCGGGCGGCTACCAGGCCTTCGAGCTGCAGGTGGGCAGGCAGTGGAGCTCCCAGGACAGAGCCTCCTGCAGGACGGGCGTGACCGTGTCCGGCCTGCAGCCCGCTCAGTCCTACGTGGCCACCGTCTGGACCCTCTGGGACCGGCTGCGGGCCCCAGCGGCCTCGGTGACCTGCCGCACGGCGAGCGCAGGTGAGCGCAGCCCGGGGGGCGGGCAGTCTCTCCATACCCCCGGGGCCCTGGGGAAACGCCGGGGGTCTTACCTACCTCGGGGTCTTTAATGTTTGCTCCTTTGTGAAAGCTTTCTGCTTTCTTTAAAGCAGTTCCATTGAGCTGTAATCGGTGTGGCTCAGTGGATAGAGTCTCGGCCTGGGTCCTGAAAGGTCCCAGGTTCGATTCCGGTCAAGGGCAGGGACCTTGGTTGTGAGCACATTCCCGGTGGGGAGTGTGCAAGAGGCAGCTGATGGATGTTTCTCTCTCATCGATGTTTCTGACTCTCTCTCCCTCTCCCTTCCTCTCTGTAAAAAGTCAATAAAATATATTTTTAAAATAAAATAAAAAAGTGGAGCCCTGGTCAGTTTTCTCGGTTTTCTCCGTGGATAGAGCGCCGGCTGCGGACTGCAGGGTCACAGGCATGTACCTTGGTTGCGGGCACATCCCTGGTGGGGTGTGCGGGAGGCAGCTGATGGATGTTTCTCTCTCGTCATCGATGTTTCTAACTCTCTATCCCTCTCCTTTCCTCTCTGAAAAAACAAATAAAAAATATTTTTTAAAAATAAATAAAATAAATAAAAGAGGTGGAGGCGGGAGAGATGGGGTGTGAGGAGCTAGGACCTGGGTCCTAACAGCTCCCATGCCTCCTCCCCCAGGGGTCATCGCCGGGGCCATTGTGGGGGTTCTCCTGTTCCTCACCCTGGTGGGCCTGCTGGTCTTCTTCCTGAGGAGGTGAGACTGCCCAGGGCTGACCAGTGCCCAGAGGGGGGCCGGGGAGGTGAGACTGCCCAGGGCTGACCAGCGCCCGGAGGGGGGCCGGGGCGGGATCTGGACA